CGGGATCCCCCTCTGGGCCCTTTGTTGGGGCCGTCCTGGGGCCCTTTTGGGCCGTCTTGGAGGCATCTTTGGCTGTCTTCAGGCCTTCATGGGCCATCTTCAGGCCCTGTTGCAGGCCTCTGGAGCCGTCTTGCGGCGATCTTGAGGGCCTCTGGGGCCGTCCTGGAGCGTCGGGAATCCGAAATGGCGAGAACGCCAAAATCTTTCAAACACCTAGGACAATTCTATGATGGTTGCCTCTTGGGGTGATCTTGGGAGTACTCTGGGAGGCTTCGGCGTACTGGAGGCCTCTTGGGCTGTCCGGTCTCGTGGCGTCTCGGAGCACTCTTGGACTTCCTTGGGGGTCTCTTGGGGGTCTCTTGGGGGCCTCTTGACCCTTCTTGGGGCTCTCTGGGACGCGGCGCGACGGGAGCGTGCGCCCATCCTCCAGGTGTCCCCCAAAAGACCCCCAATGCCTGCTTGGTTACAGTAGGGGCCCGACCACAAGAAACCTTCCACAAGAAGCCCAAACCTGAGACCCCAGGACGTCAATCGATTTTTGGTGTGGGAACGTCACGCTCTCCACAGCAAAACCATCGAAGCCCAAGAAACCCAGGGCACCCTGGAGGCAAGCAGGGTGTTTCTTGGCATGGGTCTCCACTGGATTGTGCCCGTGGCATGGGTCTCCACTGCAGCGGCGACGACGACGACGACGACGACGACGACGACGACGACGGCGACGACGACGACGGCGACGACGGCGACGGCGGCCGCGGCGGCGGTGGCGACGTCGGCGGCGACGACGGCGGCGACGACGGCGCCGGCGCCGGCGCCGGCGCTGGCGACGGCAACGGCGACGGCGACGGTGACGGCGACGGCGACGGCGACGGCGGCGGCGCCGGCGACGGCGACGGCGACGGCGACGGCGACGACAACGAACGACGACGGCGGCGACGGCGACGGCGACGACGACGGCGACGGCGACGACGACGAACGACGGCAGCAGCAGCGGCAGCGGCGACGGCGGCGGCGGCGACGGCGGCGGCATCCTGCGGGCTCGGGGAAGCGTCCAGTGGGCCTCCTGCGCCCGCGCGTCCGCGCCCTGATCCTCGTCTCGCCCCCGCGCCCCCCCGCCAAGGAGCTGTCCCGCTCGCAGCACCCCGGCCGCGCCTGCGACGGCGGCGGGAGCTCGGAAGGCGCTGCTGAGGGGGGGGGAGGGGCACGCGAGGAGCCGCTGCGGAGGGCCCAGCTGAGGCCTCGGCGGCCCTTGTGATCGCGTTCTTGTTCCGTTGTTTGCCGATCGGCGCGGGGCCCTCGCACCGCCCTTCCCCCCCTCCCATGGAGTGGATCTTGGCTGTTTCTGGCGCCTGTTTCAGGCATGCGGAGGCTTCCCCACAGGACGCATTGTTGCAGGCAGTGCCCCCCCCCCCCCCCGCCCACTGTCGAAACGCCGAATAAGAAAACGTTCACCTTGTCGTCCTCCGCGCCCTCCCTCGTGCTCGCTCCTCCCCGCCGTCCTCCTCCGCGCCCGCTGGTGCTCGTCCTCCCTCCTCGTGATTTTGCCCGCTCCTCGACGCCCCTCCCTTCCCCTCGACGACGTGGATCCGCCACGTGATGCGAATCGGAGTAGGAGTAGGAGGAAGAGGATGTAAAGAGCAGGAAGTAGTAGTAGTAGTAGTAGTAGTAGTAGTAGTAGTAGTAGTAGTAGTAGTAGTAGTAGTGGTGGTGGTGGTGGTGGTGGTGGTGGTGGTGGTGTGGTAGTAGTAGTAGTAGTAGTAGTAGTAGTAGTAGTAGTAGTAGTAGTAGTAGTAGTAGTAGTAGTAGTAGTAGTAGTGGTAGTGGTAGTGGTAGTGGTAGTGGTAGTGGTAGTGGTAGTGGTAGTGGTAGTGGTAGTGGTAGTGGTAGTGGTAGTGGTAGTGGTAGTGGTAGTGGTAGTGGTAGTGGTAGTGGTAGTGGTAGTGGTAGTGGTAGTGGTAGTGGTAGTGGTAGTGGTAGTGGTAGTGGTAGTGGTGGTGGTGGTGGTGGTGGTGGTGGTGGTAGTAGTAGGAGGAGGAGGAGGAGGAGGGTATAAAGAGGAGGAGGAGTAGGAGTTGGAGGACGAGGAGGATATATAGAGTAGGAGAGGGGATTCGGTGGGGAGGGGGGAACTTCGCATCACGTGACGAAACCCTTCTGCCTATCCTCTTCCCCGTCTTCGTCCCCCCCCCGCCCCCGGGGGGTGGGGCCGCCCGACGTCTCAGCTGGCCCTCCCCCTCCGAGACGGGCCTGCCTCGCCGCCCCTCTGCCCAGAGCCCCCTGGGCGCCGCGAGAAGCGCAACCGACGGCGAGGTGAGCTTCGCGGAGCTCCATGCCTCGGGGATGCCCGCGCCGTGCCCGCGGGCCGTCTCGGGATGAGCCCGGAGGGCAGCCGTTCCCCAGGGACGGGGCCGATCGGGTGTGGACAGAGCCCCCACCCTGACACGTCGATCAGTGAATTGTCCGTCTTCGGTTCTCGAGAGGGCGCCGCGGCCGTCATTTTCCAGGCTTGCGCCCGCCAGGTTTGGGTCCGAGGTCGTTCTCACTAAACCACGTGTTGCTAAAGGGGGTTCTGTCAATGCCCGAGCCGAGAGCTCCCAGCGCGCACGTCTTACACAAGATGACCTCGGAGGCCGGGGCTCCCGGCAGTTGCGGTTCGCCGAGTCGGTGTTCCCAACCATCCTGAGGTGTGGGGTCCTCGCTTCGATGAGATAGCATCCCGCGTCTCCCTCCTCTCGCTGCCCCCTCCTCCCTTCTGCCTCTGCTCTCCGCATGCCATGTCGGTACACCACTCACACGTCTTGTTGCCCCAAAGGGAGCTCCACCGACGATCCCAGTTGTACAGTCCGGATGCGTCCCCCACGCCCATTTCGGCACACCCTCACCCGTTCCGTGACCCCTCAGTGAGCTCCACCGACGGTCCTGCTGACACACTCCGCATGCGTCCCCCCCCGCTCATCTTGTCACACCACTAACGCTTTGCGCGGCCACGTAGGGAGCTTCACGTAAGGTCCCGCTTGCACAGTCCGCATGCGTCGCGTCCCACTGCCCATCTCGGCACACCCCTCGTGTTCCGTGGACCCACAGTGAGCTGCACCGAAGGTCCCGCTGAGACAGTCCGCATGCGCTCTCCCACGTTGCGGCACAACCCCTGCACTTTTGGTGTCCCCACAGGGAGCTCCACCAAAGGTCCCGCTGGCACAGTCCGCATGCGTCCCCCAGCCCAGTTGGGCACAACCCCTACGCGTCTCGTAGCCCCATAGGGAGCTCCACCGAAGATCCCAGTGGCGCAGTCCGCATGCGCCCCCAGCGCCCATTTTTGCGCACCCTCACAGGTTTCGTGGCCACGCAGGGAGCTCCACCGACGGTCACGCTGGCACAGTCCACACGCCCCTTCCCCGTCCAATTCGGTATACGCCTCACACGTAATGTGGCACCACAAGGGCGCTCCACCGAAGGTCCCGCTGGCACATTTCGCATGCGTTCGGCAGCCCTGACACGTTTCCTGGCTCCATAGAAAGCCCCACCAGAGGTGCCCATGACGCAGTCCACATGCGTCCCACCCCCGCCCATTTCGGCACACCCCTCCCGCTTTTCGTGGCCCCGTCGGGAGCTCCACGGAAAGCCCCAGTGGCAGCCTTTTCAGCTCCCTTGTCGCGGACGACCCGTGACGGGAGCTTATGAGACACTGTCCCAAAGGCGGCAACCGCCACGGCACCGCAGCCTGCGGTGCCGTCGGCAGCCGCGTCGCTGGAATTCTTGCGGGGCGACCAGCGAGCGTCGCGGGGACTCCTCTTTGCTCCGCCTCTTTGCGGGCGACGGGCTCGCATCCTCCTCATCCTCCGCGCCCCAGCCCGGTCTGATGGGCCTCCCTCCTGCCTCTCACCTGCCCCGCGATACTCGCAGCCGCATCGGTTGGGCCCTTCGCTGGGACATAATTTTCGGGGGGCGCCCGAGCAGCAGTCCGAGAGCCGACACCGCCGTCGTCTCACTTGCTTGGGCGTTGCGTAATGGGGGGGTCATAAATGGGGGGGCGGCGAGGGTGGCCCGAAAAGGTACCCAAACGGTACCTAAACGAGCCCCCTGAGGCTCCGGAGGGGCCCGAAAGGGGCACGAAAGGGGACCGTTTCTGACCCCCCCATTTGTGACCCCCCCATTAAGCAACGCCCAACTTGCTGTTCTAACCATGGCGTCTCGCTGCGTGGCACCCACCTCTGTGGGGAGCACAAGTAGGATGGGCCCCAAATCGTGCCCGGGCCAGCTGGGTTTCTCGGCGGATTTGCGGAAGGCATCAGCGGCCTCCGTGGCCTTCAGGGCCGTCAAGGGAGCATTCGGGACCATGCCAGATGGTGCCTCGCCGGGCTTCTCAGGGGGGTTCCGAGCGAAGGTCCCCGCACAAAGGGCCTCCAGGAGCAGCCAGGATGCCTCGAGGAGCGTCGAAGGAACATCCAGGAGACCTTCAGGGGCCCCAGCGGTTTCAGGGGGCTACAGGGCCCCTCCCCGTGGTAGAGGGCGCTTAAGGATTGCGAGGGGATCGCGAGCCCACTGGCCTTGAGGCATCCTCGAGATTCCGCGAACTTCCTGGAGAGCCTTCAGCGGCCTCCAGATCGTTTCAAGGGGTTCAAGGATTGCGCTGTGCAGTATGGACATACCGATGATTGCATACGCACCTGGATTTACATGTGCCCATGTGGCTGAATGGCACGCAAGCCATTGCAACTATGCATGCACGTGTACGTCAAGGGGTTGGGGAATATTCTCATGCAGATGTATAGCTCGTGTCTCACATTTGTCGATGACGATTCGATCAATTCGGGTGTGGCACCTCTTTTGGGCACAGGAACGGAAATGTGGCATGTTACGATCCGCGTTGCAGGCGAAAATGTGGTCTTAGGGGCCCGTCAGTTCCATTGATGTTGACCTTCGATGCCGTTCAGGGTCGACGGTTTCACAATTATAGGATCGGGTCCTCAGAGAAGCTAAGCATCTCAGTTGGTCACGCCTATGCTCAGCGGCACTTTTGCTGGCTCAAAAAGGATTCACCAGTGGGGAGTTGAGTTTAGATTACCTCACCCCGTATAGCAATGGTGGACCACGCTACCGCCAAATATCTCAGCGACAATGTCGGCACAGTGTTGGCGAAGGCGTTGGCTGACATGGCGGTGCAACAACCAGCCGACGGCGTAGACTTTCTGGCAAAGTGGTTGAAGCAGTACGCCGAGCGCGAGGAGGACAAACTGAAGCAGGAGGCGGAGAAGAAAAAGCTCGAGGAGGATCGCGCGAAGGCCAAGGCCGCCTTGGACGCGAAGGAGGCGGAGGCGAAGGCGCGGCTGGCCGCTGCGGATGCCAAGACCGCAAAGTACCAGGGCCTTCTGGACAAGTTCTCCAACCCCGACACGGTCTTCGAGGACTCGGGCAGCCCAGGCAGAGTGCCCCGCTTGGGGGCGTCGATGTCGGCCCCCCCGGGATGGCCAGAGCTCCGGCAGGCCCAGGAAAAAGAGTCATCGTTCCTGCAGCGTTCGGAGACGCATTCAGTGCGTCCGCGGCGCCTGATACACTCTCCCAGCCAGCCGGCTTTGAGAGGTTTCGAGTTGTCTCTGCTCGATGTTGTCTTCTTGCTGCCGACGTCTGAAGACAGCTCGTGTTCCTCTTCCTCCTTCTCTCGTCATCCCCTCCTGCTCCTCCAGCTGGAGCGTCGAAATGAGAAACATGTCGTTTGTTCGGAAAGCCGCTGCTGCTGCGTTGCATGCTTCATGCTGCTGCTGCTGCTGCTTCTGCTGCTCAGCCTGCCGGTGCTCCCCGATTCAATCAAGACCACTCATCACACGGATCGTGCATCATTGTGGGTGGTTCGTACGGCCCCGGTGGGCATATTACCCACTCCCCAATTCGGCACACCCCTCACGGATCGCGCCCTATCTAGGAAAGAGCGTGTCCTACCGTTGCTGGCGGAAAACCAGGGGGGAGGGGTCACTGGGGGTTCCCAACCGCCCCCCCCCACCCCCCTCAAAAACCGGGGGGGGGGGTCATTACCGGTTCGACCCCCCCCCTTCGCCGCCAGCAACCGATTCCCGCTCCTCGAGACAGTTGGACAGTGGTGGGGATACTGGGACAGTGGTAGGGACGGTGGTGGTGGGGACAGTGGTGTGGGGACAGTGGGACAGTGGTGCGGACAGTGGGACAGTGGTGGGTACGGTGGTGGTCGGGACAGTGGTGAGGGGACAGCGGGACAGTGGCGCGGACAGTGGACACAGTGGGACAGTGGGACGGTAGTAGTGGGGACAGTAGTGAAAGCGGTGGTGAGGACGGTGGTGGGACAATAGTACAATGGGGACAGTGGTGGGGACGTTGGGGACATTGGGGACAATGGGACAGTTGTGGGGACAGTGGGACAGCACAGTGGGACAGCGGCGGGGACAGTGGGGACTGTGGGACAGTGGTGGGAACAGTGGGGACAGTTGGACAGTGGTGGGGAGAGTGGGACCGTGGTGGGACAATGGTGGGGACAGTGGGGACAGTGAGACACTGGTGGGGGCATTGGTGGGGACAGCAGGGACAATGGTGGGAACAGTACTGTGGGGACAGTGGGACGGTGGTGGGGACTGGGGGACAGTGGTGGAGACGGTGGTGGTGGGACAGTGGTGTGGGGGCAGTGGGACTGTGGTGGTGACAGTGGGGACAGTGGGACAGTGGTGGGGACAGACGTGGTGGGGACAGTGGTGAGGGCGGTGGCGAGGACGGTGGCGCGACAATGGGACAGAGGTACAGTGGGGACAGTGGTGGGGACAGTGGGAACTGGCTGGAACAGTGGGACAGTGGGACAGTGGCGGGGACAGTGGGACAGTGGGGACAGAGGGACAGTGATGGGGACGGTGGTGGTGGGGACAGTGGTGTGGGGACAGTGGGGCAGTGGTGGGAACAGTGGGGGGGGGCAGTGAGGCAGTGGTGGGGAGAGTGGGGCCGTGGTGGGAACAGTGGTGGGGACAGTGGGGACAGTGCGACAGTGGTGGGGGCACTGGTGGGGACACGGGGGACGGTGGTGGGGACAGTGTGGACAGCGTTGGTGGGGACAGTGGTGCTGGGACAGCAGTGGGGGATGTGGTGCGGACGGTGGTGGGGACCTGGGAGTCGTTTGCCGGCAGTGAGGGGAGGGGGGGGGGGTTCGAACCGGTAGTGACCCCCCATCTGGTTTTTTGGAGGGGGGGGGGAGGGGTTCGAGCCGGTAGTTTCCCCCCCCTTCCCCTCGGGTTTTGTAGAGAGGGGGGGGGAGGTGGGCGAATGGGGGGGGCCGGGCTCCCGAGGAAGAGGGGGGAATTTTCCACAGTAAAGCGGCGGTGGATCACGCTCTCTCCTATCTAGAGATCCACCTACGCACGTCTTTGATGAGCGCGTTGGCAGATCGTCACCGCCCCAAATCCCCACGCCACACACAGATCGCGCCACTGATTGGGCTTCACCTTCGGCACCAGCGCGCGCGTGGGCACACCGCGCTTCGCGGGCCGCGACCAGAGCTGCAGTGGTGTCCTCTTCTCCAGGGGGGGTGGCGCGCGAGGGCGCGAAGGCCAGCGCGCTCTGCGCGGCGCGCGAAGCTCAGAGGCAGCTGGGTGGCGCTGCCCCTCCCCGGTCGGGTATAGCCGGGACCCCGGTTGAGGGGAGCCGGTTGGTGACTGGTCACCGAAGCCCAAACTATGGACTGGAATCACAAAGCCAGGTCTGCCGTGGCTGATGCTTTTCGGGTTACGGCAGTTCCGGTCAGCGGAACGGGGCGGGGGGGCGTCCCCCAGTACACATCGCTAAACCAGGTCCCACTAAACCCAGTTCTGCCAACCGCCGACCCAGGCCTTCAACGTCGCCGTCCCGACCCTTCCTCTTTGGCATCGCTCGGACGCGTGCATCTTTCTTCTCGGCGAGGACCACCACTTGGATCATCGCGCGCAAATTACACGCGCGAAACCAGAAAGTGCACGGGGAAGGAACATCCGAGCGATGGCGAGTCCTCTGGAGCAGTTTCTCATCCCGGGCCGATTTCTGCTCCGGCCCCAGAGCCCGTCAGAAGGGCCCACAGAGGCCGAAGAGACCCCACGACGGAAAAGATAGGTCGTGCTTTTCCTCGCGATGCGAGGGAATCATGGGTCCTTTTTGCGCAGGCCCCAGAGCTCGTCATGAGGGCCGCCCCCAGAGGCCCAAGAGGCCCCATACGACGGAAATGACAGGCCGTGCTTTTGCCCGCGACACGAGGGGGTCGTGTGGATCCCTCGCTTCCACTGCCAGGGGCTCGGGAGCGCAGGAGGGCTAAATCTGCAGCAAGGCCGAGCCTTGCCCAGTCGTATGCTTGTCATCCTCGTCATGCCTTTTACCACATTGAGATCAAAACAACATTGTCTCACTATGGTTGTACTCGATGCACTTTTGCCAGCATTTGATGGGCGCTTCGGCCCCACCCTGCGGCACCCACGCGGTGTATGATGCAGGCCGATGCCGATGCCGATGCCGGAGGAACAGTGTCTTTCTGGCGTTGCGATGCAGCGAACCACTGAATCTCCCTAGCCTTAGGTCGGGCACGTCCCTCCACATGAGGAATATTGAATATTAAAAACTAGCCAAAAAATAGTTTGGGGACGACTTTTGGCTATTTTGGCAAATTTGTCTTCCGATGATTGATTTTTCCCCAACCATCCTGTGGTTTTGGGTCCTCGTTTTGAAGAGACGGTCCCCGCGTTCTCCTCTTTTCTCCTTCTTTCCTTCCTCCTCCTCCCTCCTCCCTCCTCCCTCCTCCCTCATCCCTCCTCCTTTCGTTTCACCCACCCAGTACAGAGTTTCGTGGCCCCATTGGGAGCTCCACCGAAGGCCCCAGTGCCACCGCCCGCATGCGTTACCCACGCCCATTTCGGCACACCCCTCACACCTTTCGTTGCCACATAGGGAGTTACACCGCAGGTCCCAGTGCCACCGCCCGCATGCGTCACCCACACCCATTTCGTCACACCCCTCACACGTTTCGTGGCCCCATAGGGATCTCCACCGAAGGCCCCAGTGACACCGCCCGCATGCGTCACCCACACTCATTTCGTAACACCCCTCACACGTTTCGTGGCCCCCTAGGGAGCTCCAACGAAGGCCCCAGTGCCACCGCCCGCATGCGCCACCCACGCACGTTTCGGCACACGATGCCCCACAGGGAGCTCCACCGAAGGCGCCAGTGCCACCGCCTGCATGCGTCACCCACATCCATTTCGGCACAGCCCTCAGACGTTTCGTGGCCCCATAGGGAGCTCCACCGAAGGCCCCACTGCCACCGCCCGCATGCGTCACCCACACAGGTTTCGGCACACCCCTCCCCATTGGGAGCTTTACCGAAGGCCACAGTACCACCGCCCGCATGCGTCACCCACACCCACGGCACACCCCTCAGACGTTTCGTGGCCCCATAGGGAGCTCCACCGAAGACCCCAGTGCCACCGCCCGCATGTGTCACCCACACCCATTTGGGCACACCCCTTACACGTTTCGTGGCCCCATAGGGAGCTTCAACGAAGACCCCAGTGCCACCGCCCGCATGCGTCACCCACACCCATTCCGGCACAGCTCTCATGTGTTTCGCGGCCCCGTAGGGAGTTCCACCGAAGGTGCCAGCGCCACCGCCCGCATGCGTCACCCACACACATGTGGGCGCACCCCTCACACGTCTCGTGGCCCCATAGGGAGGGAGCTCCACCGAAGACCCCAGTGCACACACCGCCCGCATGCGTCACCCACGCACGGTTCGGCACACCCCTCACGCGTTTCGTGGCCCCATAGGGAGCTCCACCGAAGGCGCCAGTGGCTGCGTTCGCATGCGCCCACCGCACCCATTTCGGCACGGCCCCAGTGGCTGCGTTCGCATGCGCCCACCGCACCCATTTCGGCACACCTCTCACGCGTTTCGTGGCCCCATAGGTAATTCCACCAACGGCCCAAGTGGCTGCTTTCGCATGCGCCCACCGGACAATTTTTGGCACATCCCTCTCACGGTTCGTGTCCCTATAAGAAGATCCTCCGAATGCGGTGCATACAACGAGGGCACTCACAACTGCAGATGGTCGGGTCCTTCGCCAGGCTAATTTCTTCCCAAATCCACCTGTAGGAGGACATGCCCGACCTAAGTATAGCCCGAGGCGGAGGCCACCGCCCAGGGCCACTGCGACGACGGCCCCGCGCGCACCCGCCCGAGGACGCGTGCTGGGGCGAGCTCGTGTCTGTCGCGCAGGAGGTCACCGGCGCGAGCGCCGCCTACCTCGGCCTCCTCGAGGACCCGGCGGCTCCCCAGACGAGCAGGGGCCCCCCCTCCTCCCTGGCGCCGGAGGCGCCGCCAGGGGGGCCCAGCGCAGACCCAAGAGATCCGCGCGGAGCGCCAAACATTGTTTTTATATGGTTTGTCCTTCTTCTAGTCAGGGGGGATACGCTCAGGAGGGGATGCATAGCCGCATCGACCCCCCATCGCCCACTGATGGCCAATGAGGGGCCTGATGATCTGATGGCCCCCCCTCCCAGGACCGTGCAGATGCTCAATCGTGGGCCCAGCACTGATGCATCGGCGATTTCAGGTCGATGTTCTCTCCGTGTGCAGGTCCCCCCCTCCGAGCGCTCCCCCTCACAGATGAAGTTCCCGCATTGAGGATCGATGCTTTTTGTATGCATGCGGTGCTTTTTCCCAGGCCTCCCGACTGCCAGGGACCCTCCAGAGGCTCCAGGCTTAAGTCGGGCATGTCCCTCTACAGGAGGAATGTTCAAGAGTCGTAGAAAATATACCCTGGGGGCGATTTTCCACTTTTTTTTTAGTATTGTCTGACTGTCCCTAATTGTTCTGTCAAAATCCGCCTGTAGGAGGAGATGCCCGACCTGACACCGGGGGGGCCCAGCCGAGGTTCGAGCTTCGAGGGCTCCGAGTGGGTTGGTTTGACCACCACCTCGGCGGCGGGCCCAGGGGGAAGCGAGGAGGCGCGGGCCTTCTCAGAAGGCTCGGAAGTCCCCTGGCCGTCTGCGAAGTGTCCTAAGCTTTCCCCGAAGACACAGCAAACATCTTGGAAGGCGCGAGTCTTCTGAGGAGTCCCGTCGCCCTTGAGAGGGCCTTCTCCTTTTCACTTCCCCCCCTCGCTCGCCGCCGACCTTCAAAGAAGGGAGCCGAAACCCTCGAGCTCGACCCCCATTGTTGGGGCAGACGAGGGAAGGGGGTGAAGGGTCCGGGGTGGACAGAACCTCCACTCTGACACGTCGATCCGTGACTTGTCCGGTTCGGCTCTCGAGAGGGTGCCGCGGCCGTCATTTTCCATGCTTGCGCCCGCAGGTTTGGGCCCGAGGACGTTTTCACGAAACCACGTTTTGCTAAAGGGGGTTCTGTCCACCCCCGGAAGGGAGGTGGCACGGAAGCTGGCTGCACGCAGTTGCTTCTGGCCCTGCCGCCGGGCAGACCCTGCCTCGGCGCGCGGCCGAGCCTCCCCGAAAAGCCCGACGGCGCCGGGATTCGCTATAGCCCCCTCTGCTCTTTCCCCGCTCGCCCGCCCCGACCAGGGTCTCATTTCGACCCCTCCGACTCGATTCGATTCGTTCTCGATGGCTTCCGGTTCCGATTCGATCCGGCTCGAGATTCCGATGTGGGGTCCGATGTTCTATTGGAGGCGTACTAGCTTGCCGATTTACGCCGATTCGACCTCTCCCGGCTCGGCTGCCGATTGCTGCCGATCCGATTCACTTCGATCGCCGAGCCGACTTATCGATTCGATCATGGGCTCTTCTGCCCTCCCTCCATTCGGCATCGCTCGGACGTGTGCATCTTGCTTCTCGGCGAGAACCAACAAGGAGCACCTCGGAGCATCGCACGAAAATACGCGCGAAACCAGACAGGGAACGGGGAAGGGACGTCCAGGCGATGGCGAGTCCTTGGGGGCAACTTCTCATCCCGGGCCGATTTGTGCTCCAGCCCCCAAAACCGTCAGAAGGGCCCCCAGAGGCCGAAGAGGCCTCACGACGGAAAAGACAGGTCGTGCTTGTCCTCGCGACGCGAGGGTCCGTTTTCTGGCAGCGCTCCACTGAGGACCTTGTCTGTTCTGGAGGGCGCTCGAGGTTTCAGGCTTCGCCCTCCGCCGCTGTTTTCTTTTTGTGTTCCTCTCTCTCTTTCACACACACACACACTCTCTCTCTCACCATGGGATCTCGCAGAGCTACACCGGGGATGTCTCAGCGCCGTTTTGAAAACGTCTGGGAACATCATGTCGGCCACGCGCCGAGGGATGTAAGTGGAGGGAGGAAGGATGCTTATCGGGAAAACGTAAGATTCGAGTAGGCTGGAACTCGGGTTGGCCGACGTCTTTTGACGAGCGCGTCCTGGGTTTTGACGGTCCGGTTTTCGTGGCATGTCTGCAGCGGGAGCTCGCGTCAAATTTCAGAGAGGGCCTCGTCATTTGTTTTTATGATGGCCCCGTCAGGCCAACCCGAGTCCCCCGTACCCGAGTCCTACGTCTCCCCGATCTTAGAAGCATTATTGCTTCTGACAAGGCAGACATACACACACCTATATATATATATATATATATATATATATGAACCTTCCAAGGAAACCTATGCGGAGTCCACCTGAGCGTGCGCGACGCCGTTGATGGATAACGTGAGTTTCATCCATCTTCCGTAGCTGTGTTGGTTTGAGACAGGCAGCGGAGTCACCGGGCGGTGCCGCCCGTCTGTGGCCGCTGCCGAGCCACTCTGTCTACTGAAAGACTGCCGCGCCGCGCGCGGCCGCTTGCAGGGCCACGCTCGGACGTCTGATTCTAATCAGCCTCGCTGGCAGCCTTGGCGGGTTGAGGGGAGCGAAGACCTGGCTGGGAGACGAGGATCCCGGGCGCGGGTCGCCCCTCTCCCGCTTTGTTGCTGGCGAGGAGCCCGATGGAGCGGGCAGCCCCAGCTGCCGGCGGGTGGCCCTTCCCGTGAGGAGCCTGGCTCGACGCGGCGCTGAACGGCGAGCTGGTGGCGGGGCTGCCGCTGGGGGCTGGTGCACGTGTCCTGGCGCGGGTCCAGGACGACGTCGGGGCGCCGCAGGGCGTCGAGATGCCCGAGGTCGAGGTCGCCTACCAGGCGGACGCTTTCGGCAGATTCTTCAAGGCCCGGCAGGTGGGCGCCAGCGACCCGTACTTCTCATGGTAGGCGGCCTCCTGCGGGCAGCGGGGCGCACGCCCTTGACCACGGTCTTCCACCTCTGCAGGTGCAGCGCCAACAAGTGCGGGACGGTCGCTCCAGCTGGCGCTGTGGTCGAGCACTTGGACGTGTGGCAGGTGGTGGACCCCCGCGACGTGGCCCGCGAGCAGGCGAAGCTCATCTGCCCAGCAGCGGATCCTGGGGCGCCTGTGCGGGCCGACGCGCCCTCGGCCGAGCCATTGCCTGGAGAGCTCGGCGGCTGGCCGCTCGGGGATGGGGGCAACATAGGCGAGGAGGAGCCTCGCGGGCCTCCGCACAAGTGTGCCCGCGCGGTGGAGGGCACCCAGACCCCGGGCGGTCCAGGAGAGGCGAGCCCACTCGACCAGGAGATCGCAGGGCTCGAGGAGACCGCCGAGGACCCCGAGCTCGAGGCGCGGCTGGCGCGGCTGGAGGGCAGGGCAGCTCGTGGTGTGCCGAGGCAGGGCACGCCCGAGAACGCTGCGGGCCCGGCAGGAGCCGAAGGCAAGCGCCTGGCACAGGAGGTTGCTGGCCGAGCCGCCGCTGCTGCCCCTGCGCGCACTGGCGCCTCGGGGAGGAGGAGCAGGCCGCCATCGGCTTTGACCGTGGCGCTCCTGGACCGCGACGACGACGACGCGGAGGATGGCGCGGAGAGCGACACAGAGCGTTGGGGGCCGCGACCGCTACCAGGGCGTGAGCATCAAGCGCGACTTGTTCGGCAGGATCGCTCGACAGCGGCCCGACGCTCTCCTCGCGAATGGGCTTGGCCACCTGCGCAGCCAGTTCACTCAGCAGATGTCCGCAGGCGAGGCGGACCTGCTGGCCCCGTGTGTCACACAGTTCCTGAACACGGTGTTCTTCGATGCTCACCCGCCGCGGACGCTGAGGTCAGTCGAGGGGCGGGTCTTCCGCACGCTGGGGCTGGCGCTCGACGGCATCCTGCGCGGGGAGGTCATCGAGACTGCGGATCTGGTCATGCAGGAGTTCAAGGCGCGGTCGATGGCCATCCGCGACGGAAACTGGCGGTCGGCACGAAGGCTCACGCTGGTCGCGCAGGAACAGCTTCCGTCAGACACCTCTCTGGACGAGGAGAATGCTGCCGAGAAGGTCGAGGCCCGGGAGCTGAGGGTCGCCGAACTCCGCCAACGACTTGCAGACTGCAGGCCGGGCTGGGGGCCTGGCCGGGAGCCGTCTCCGTTGCTGGGGGGGACGGCACCTGCAGGCCATGGGCGCGCGGAGGCGCGCCGCCCGCCCCCTGCTCCCGGGACGCCAGTCTCAGGATCGCCCGAGGCGATGAGGATCCTTGCCGGACGAGTCCCAGGCGACGGTCCCGCAGCTCTCCGCGCCGGGAAGAAGCCGCCAGCAGCGCGGAGGACCAGCCGCAGCCCCACGCGGTCGGTCCAGCTCCTGAGCGACTCCGAGGGGGACCTCGTCGCAGCAGCCGCCGCCCGCGTGCCACCAGCGGACGCAGCTGCAGGCCGGAGCTTCGCGCAGCACAAGGCGGCCCACCCGAGGCGCGAGGGCGAGACCCAGGCGGCGTGGAAGGCGCGCATTGGGAGGCCGCTGGCTGCCAAGAGCCGCGGCAAAGGCAAGACGGGGAAGAGCCGCGGCACGAGCACTGCTCGCTGGACAGCCTGGGTTCGGGCGTGGAGGCCGACGCTGCGGAGGCCGCGGCCTCGCGCACGCCCCCGCCTGCCCTCCGCCCGCCTGAGCGGCAGCTACGCGGCAGCTCGCAGGCTCGGCGGTGGCGCCAGATGCCAGCCGAGGTGGGCACAGGTGTCAGCTCCAAGTTCAGGCTCGCCCTCGCGGCCCACGAGGCGGTGCACGGTTCGCCAGGGGCGATCGGGCGATATGTTTGTGAGATGTGCACTTCGCCAGACCCCACGGCCAGCTTCGCGCGGCTGCGCGAGGTGTTGCCGTTACCGTTGCCCGACGCCCCACTCTTCGAGAGGTACCGTGCCGCCTGCTACTTGCACCAGCAGTTGCCGGAGACCTGCGAGGTGGACGCCGCCACGGCGCAGGGGTGGGCCCTGCTCGTGGACTTCAGCCTGAACTACCAGTACATGGAGCACATGCGTTGTCCCACCGTCGCCGCGAGGCGGCCCACGGCAGGTCAGGTCAGTGCGCTCGGCATTGCGCAGGAGGTGTGTGTGTATTTCGTTCAGGATGCTGCCGCAGCGTTCGAGCTCCCGGACTGGGACCAGGTCATCGCGTCGAAGACCGACTCCTACGGGGGCGAGGAGACGTCCCGCGCCCCGCCGCTCTCGCTTGCAGGCAACATGCCAGGCCTCCCCGCGCAGGGCGTCTCCGCATCGGTCAAGGCGGTCGACATTGCGGACGCTCAGGCGGGCGCCTGGCTTGCCGACCCCACGCTGGGTTTGCTCCCTCGGGATGAGTCGCCTGCCGAGGTCCCGCGGGCGGCGAGCCAGGTCACGTCCGAGCAGGAGTGGTACCGCATCGGGACCAAGCTCGTCGAGTGGGGGCTGGCTGCGCCGATCGCCGACGACCGCATCATCAAGGTCGGGAGCCGCAGGGTGCTCGCTGGGGCGTTCGGGGTCGCCAAGGGCGGCTCGCGGTCACCCGGCCAGGCGTGCGTCCAGCGCCTGATCATCAACATGGTCCCGGCCGACAGCTACCAGCGCATTATGAGGGACGTCATTGGGACCCTAAGTGCATCGCCCTCGTGGGTCGCCATCCCGCTCCCAGAGGGCCACATGCTGCTCGGGTCCTCAGATGACCTGGCCTCCGCTCACCACTGCTGCGAGCTGCCCGAGGCTTGGCAGCCATGCGTGGCCCTCGCGGAGGCGATCCCGTACGCGCTCATCGGTGTGCCGGATCCAGGGAAGACACACCTCGCGCTGCTCGTCCTCCCGATGGGCTGGATCAACGCGGACACGGTGTTTCAGCACTGCCACAGGCGCCTCGGGGTCGGCTCTTGCCCCCTCGCTGGGGGGTTTCCCGCGGATCTCGAGTGGCGCAAGGACCGCCCACTTCCGTTCAAGTCGAAGGAGCTCGAGCAGCAGTGGATCCAGTACTGCATCGACGACTGGGACCATGGCGAGGTGGTGCCCAACGCGATGGTCGCGGAGCTCATCGGCACGGTGAGCTGCGCCCAGGAGAAGCAGAGGGCCGCCTACGGCTGCTCGGGGACCAGCGCTGCCCCCGGCAAGGTCAAGCCCCGCGCGCTGGTCCTGGAGCAGATGGGCGCGGGTCTTGACGGGGCCGTCGGCCAGGTCGGAGTCACGACCGAGAAGCTGCACCGGTTGCTCGCGCTCATCCTGTGGGGCATGGGCAGGCAGGGCCTCTCGTCGCAGGGCGCGCTCATGGTCCTGGGCAGGTGCGTCAGGGCAGCGGAGTTCAGGAGGCCTTTTATGGGGTTCCTCAACAGCGTGGGGGCTGCTGGGCGCTGGACGCGACCGCAGGCTGTCCCCCTTGGCATGTGCGACGAGCTCTTGGGCTTCGCGATGGCGCTGCCGCTGGCATACACCGACCTGCGCGCAAAGATCGACACTTGTGTCATTGCGACCGATGCCAGTGAGCGCGCTGGAGGCATCTGCCACACGGCTGGGCTCTCGGCGCAGGGCGGTGCCTGCGCGAGGGGAGGAGCTTCAGCAGTGACTTTGCGGCCTGGTGCAGTTGCGGCTCCTGTGCGTGGTGTGCGGTGGCGCCCTCGCATAGCTCTCATCGAGCTCTTTGCAGGCGCTGCTGGGGCCGCGGTGGTGGCCTCCAGACTCCCGATCGACGTGATCGCCCACGTCAGCTGCGAGGTTGAGCCCGCTGCCCGGCGACTGGTGCATCGCCGCTGGGCGGGCGTGATCGAGCTTGGCAACATCGAGGCCGTCGACGCGGTGCGGTTCACTGAGAGGCTGAAGGGTTATGCGCGGGACGCCGACCGGGTCGTCTTGACCGCGGGAAGCCCAAGCCAAGATCTTGCAAGCATCAATGTCGTGGGGACCGATCTAGAGGGGTCGGGGTCGAAGCTCTTCTTCCAGGTCCCCGAGCTGATCCAGGCAGCGGATGTTGCCTGTCCTAAGCGCACCATGTGGTTCGTCGAGAATGTGTTCAGCATGACCCTGGAGTCGAGGGCGGAGTTCACCAGGGCGCTGGGAGTCACGCCCGTGTTCCTCGATCGCAGGTGTCACACTCACATCAAGCGGCCGCGCCTGTACTGGTGCTCGTGGCCCGTCACGGCGTTCTTGGCGTCCGACGCCACCGTCGAGACCAAGGGTGTGGGTGGGGCCGCGTACTTCAAGTTCTTGTTTGCGGTGGAGAGGCTCCCACTGAATGCCTCGGTCTTGGAGGGCTGGTCGACGCTGGACCCAGAGGCTGACCTCCCGTGTTTCACGAGGCCGATTCCGCGACGCCGCCCGCCGTTCCGGCCCGTGGGCCTCGACCGCGCCTCGGTGCTGGCCGCGGAGCGCTGGGCTGGCGACAGCTACCGCTACCAGGTCGACAACTACGGGGACGGCAGCCTCATCTGGGACGCGAGGCGTCAGCGGGGCCGGCTGCCCGTGCCTGAGGCGAACTGGAACGTGGCCCCCGATTTCCAGCAGCCAGGCCGTCGCGACCCGCAGTTGGAACGCAGCCTGTTTGTAGAGTTCCGGAGGGTCGCGGACTGCGGGGGCACGGACGTCCGGCTTGACACCGGGAGGCCCTACCGCGCCCGCGCGTGGCCGCGGGCAGCGCTCCGTACGCACCTCTGGGCCTGGCGGATCGCCAAAGGCTTGCGCTGGCAGCGGCCCGGGCACATCTCGGCGCTGGAGCTGGAGGCTGCAGTGGCTGGGGCGCGCTGGAGGTGCCGAGCAGTTGAGAACCACCGCTGCCGCTACCTGCACATTCTGGATGCCGAACCGATCGCGGCAGTCAGCACCAAGGGCAGATCGAGCGTGCGGGCTTTGCAGCCCGCGCTCCGCTGGCTCAACTCCCTGCTCCTCGCGACGGCGGGGTACCCGCTGTACCAGTGCTGCGACACCGTCGACATGCCCGCCGACACGCCGTCCCGCTGGAGTTTCGGCCGCCGCTGCCACGCTGCCAGCGCTGCCGCCGGCGAGAGCCAGGAGAGCCGCCCCTGGCAAGCGTGCAGCGCAAGCAGCAGCAAAGGTGAGCCGGGTCACGGCCCAGGCGATGGCGCGACGAGCTGCAGCGAGGTCCCAGCCGCTGAGGGAGGCGATGGTCACGCCGCTCACCCTGCGGCGGTACCGTGCGGCGGTCGAGGAGGTCGGTGATTTCTGGATTCAGGAGCACCGGCAGCCGCAGACGCCCGCTCAGGTCGACGCTGGCGTGGCCGCCTTCATCGAGAGCCGTTGGCTGAGCGGAGGATCTTTGTTTGAAGTTAATAATGCAATTGCAGGCATCACGCACGCTTTCCCGCCCGTGCGAGGGCACCTGCGGGACAGCTGGCGCTTGGCCAAGACAGCAACGCCTGGAGCCAGCTGGGCAAACGCTGCCGTTCAGTCCTGCAACAGCGTTCGCAGGTGCATTGGCGGCCGTGGGCCAGCGTGGCGCTGCGGCGGTGCTGGCAGCAGGCTACGACGCTTTCCTCCGGACGGGTGAGATGACCTCGCTCGTGTGGTCTGATGTACAGCTGTATCCGGTCCGCCAAATGACCGTGCTGCAGCTGCGCAACACCAAGGGCCAGCATCAGACTGGTGCCCGTAAGTTCGTGCTCGTGCGGAGCGGTGTAGCGGTCGCCCTCCTTGCCAGAGCAAAAGCTCAGGCGCACGGACAAAACTTGTGCCTCGAGATGGAGCCAAGCAGTTTCATGAGCACTTTCGGCCGCGGGCGTGAGCTGCTGGAGCTGCAAGATGCCAAGCTCACTCTTTACAGCTGGCGTCAGGAGGCGCCTCCGCCGACTTCCGCAGCCACGGCTCCATGAGCAGACGCTGCTCCGAGGCAGATGGCATCGGCGCGCACGGCCCGCTTTTATGTCCAGGATGCCGTCGCCGAAGCCACTCAATTAAATCTCTCGCCCACGCAGCGGAGGCGCTGCAACCTGCTCGCGTCCCGCCTGCGAGCAGAAGCGAGATGGACTGTTCTTGCTTTGAACTGCCTGTCTGTCTGTCCCGCCCATCCTCCACCTTTCTTCCCTCATTTCATTGCAACAAGGTGGAGGGCATGAGTAAGAACAAGAGGGAGCGGCTTTTGCCAGGGTAGGGACCGTGGAGAGAGCTAGGGGGTTCAGGGGTTGGTGACGTTTAACCTCCCGGCGGGGCAAGGGCCCAGCGCGTCTGGGACGCAGCGCGGGTGCTTAAGCGCCACGGCTGTGCCAGGCGGGTTGGGAGGCCCTTGGAGGCCGCTGAAGGGACGGGACCTCTCCCAACTCCTGGGTTGACCCCTGAGTAGCCCCCAGAGGTCCTGGCCTGACAAGCTCCCTGGCGGAGTGCACAAAAACAGGTGAGAGAAGCATATATATATATATATATATATAGATACATATATAGATGTTAGGCCGGCGCCTTTTAAGAAACAGCCTCCTTCCAAGAAGCCCTCCCCCCTCCCCCTACCCCCTTGCGCGCGCCGCCAATCATGCGAGGCGATAGGTATTCAGCAAATACCTCGAGATGTTGGAGTTGATGTTGAACGCTTTGGCTCATTCTTAGGACCCCTCCTCGAACGACTGGGTGCGGGGACGTGAAGCCGTCTTTGGCGAAATCGCGCGGCTGGGGCTGTCTTTGATTCGTGGTTGCGGGTCCAGTCCAGCCTCGACGTTTCATGAAACGCGTGGGGGAGAAGGGGTGAGAGGCCCGAGAGCATAGATACTTTCAAATGCTCTGCCCCGGAGAGAGAGGGAGGAAGGAGGCTTTGCGGCAGCCTCCACGGGGCGGGCTCGCAGCTTTGGGAGCGCGAATTCTAGCGCATGTTACATGTGGTTACAGGTAGTCGTGGCCTCGTGAGCGCTAGTCGGGCGTAATGTTCAAGCAGAACTTGGCATCGGGAACGCGAATCTTGTGCAATTCAACAGGAAGTATGACCTCGGGTCTAGCGCATGTTCGGAGGGATTCGGGCTTCCAGAGCACGCATCCGTCGTAATTTATGTGGTGCCATTCTGGCCTCAAGATCGCGAAGCTAGCGTTATTTACATTGGGTTTTGGCGTCGATAGCGCAAATTCGGCGTAATTGAAGGTAGATTCTGGCCTCAGGGACGCGAGCATGGAGTAATCTGTGAAGGAAGATTTCGTCGGCGGCGCGAATTTCACATATTCTGACGTTACCTAGGTCCCCCAGAAAGTGAGGCAACGCGATTCGGGGACGGTATCCAGTCCTCTTCGGTCCCCCCCCCCTCGCGCGGACAGCAACAATCTACAGTGGAAAGCAGAAAGTTGAGTTATAACATTGGAAACTGTCATTGGAGCAGGTTGCAGAAAGGCCTCCGCCACGCAGCCTGGTGGCCCCACAACATGGGGGGCTGGCGGATGTGGCACTCCCTCCGTGATCCCTTTACTTTCTCGCCCCTTTCTCTCGGTCTGTTCGGTCCCGCTTGGTCCTCTCGTTAGCCGCCTGATTCTACGCGCAAAGTCTTGTCGTTTGCGCATTTCCGAATACACGTCTCCTCCCCTCCCTCCCCTCCCCCCCACCTCCCCCCTCCTCTCCCCCGCCATCACGCACCTTTCCTTCTGCGTCTTCCTCTCTGCCTCGCCCGCCCGCCTCTCCCCATCCCCTCCCGCCTCGCTCACTCCCTCCGCGCCCTCCCCCCTCCTTTACAATTACACAATACGAATACTACTCTGCTCTCGCCCCTGGTGACGTCCGCGAAATATTCGGTCCCCCTCCGCGTACGGTTTGTTTTACACCGGATTCCCTGGAGTTGGTTTTTCGCTCGGGTTTGTTGTTCAAGGTGCTGCTCTCGCTGAAGCGCTGACCTCATTTTCGGGCTACCGCTCGTTCCGAATCGTGCTCCCGCTGCAGCGCTAGTCTCATTTCCGTTTCCGTGCTTGCGCTCGTTCCGAATCGTGTTCCCGTTGCAGCTTTGGCGTCATTATTTCCAGCGCCATGCCACGGCATGGTTTTCGGTCTTTCCAAATAGGCCCCAAAATCTACAAAATGCACCCCCGAAAAAACCAGCGGAAGTGATTATACATTCGGTGTCGATTCGTTGATTTGGGGGGCCGCACAATCACCCCCCACTTTGGGGTATCGCCACGCCATGCTATGTTAGGCCAAACGTCCTCCGAATCGTGCTCCCGCTGCAGCGCTGGCCTTCTGTCCGTGCTTCCGCCCGAATCGTGCTCCTGCTGCAGCGTTGGCGCCATTATTTCCAGCGCCATGCCACGGCACGGCTTTCGGTCCTTCCAAATGGGCCCCAAAGTCTAGAAAATGCCCCCCCCCCCCCCCGAAAAAACCATCGGAGTCGATTCGTTGATTCTTTGGCCCGCAGAAGCCCCCCCCACTTTGGGGCGTCGCCACGCCATGCTCTGTCAGGGTACGCGTTGATCTTCAACACCATGTTATGCCATGTAACGCTATGCTCTGCTACCACATCTGACTGTGCCAACAGAGAAGAGATCTACGCCATGGTAAGGGAAGGGAGGGAGGGTTGGGACGTCACATATGACGCGAGCGCACCTAGCTTGCCATCTCCACTCCCCTCCCTCACTGCCTCCCTCCCCTCCCTCCTCTTCGCCAAGCCCCCCCCCCCGCAGGAGGACGGCCTGCAGGGAGAAGCTCCTGGGCCCTGCATCGCGTACACGGCCGCCTCCGCGGGCTCCGAGTGGACAGTGACCAGGGCTCGAACAGGGCCGGGCACACCACGTCGTCGTCGTCGTCGGAGGAGGAGGAGGAGGAGGAGGAGAATCACGAGGAGGATCGAGAGTTTTAGTTCCCCTGCACTCGGGGCAACGTCGGGCCTAGGAGTGGACAGCGGCGGGGCTCGAACCGCCACCTTTCGAGCCCCAGGCCCATCGGAAATGGATCTGGGACGAAGAATTGCCGCCGTGCCTGAGCCCGAGACTTCAGCATCACGCATATTTGCATCTCAGTGTAGATACATTCATCCATGAATTGATTCGTTGATTCGTTCATTCAGGCACACCTGCATGATACATACATAAATGCATGCATGCATGCATACATACATACCTTACATGTACATGCACATGTCGTTGTACGTGTACACGCACATACATACATATATGCCCACCTCCTGGGATGTTGCTTTTGACGTCCAGAACTGGGCCCCCCTCAGGGACCTGGTCAAGGATGGTGGCCCGCCCTCTTGGCAAAGTGCGGTTTTTTAAACTGTGGTCGGGGGCTGGCTCACTAGCGCCCGTCTTCATAGTCCTGAGGTTCGAGGCTGTAGATTGCAGTGTGCCAGTTGTCGGGATGATATGTCTCACTATGTACGTTGTCCAGTTTTGTGGGGCCTTGTATACCACCCTGCCGAGCCCCCCGTGTGCCTCGCCACGCGTCTCGGCCTCGCTCGGCCGCCGACGCCAGAAGAGGTGGAGAGGAGCGTGCGTGCATACCACATGTACAATGTCGTGCGCACGGCTCCTGATCCTGGCCCTCTCGATTCGGAGGAAGCCAGAGCCCGTCATTTCAATGCCATTCTCAGGGCTACACAGGCCCTTGTTGACCACTCTCGAGCGCCCTTCTAGGCCTAGCTGGACGCCCTGATCTCGATTTCCCAGGTACGAGCGGCATACATATATGCCTACCTATCTATCTACCGCCCTACCGACCTACCTATCTACATACATACACACATGCCCGTATACAGGCTTGCGTGCATACACATACATACGTACGTACATACATACATACATATGTACATGCATGCATGCATGCATGCATGCATGCATGCATACACTATACATGTACATACACATGCCTCTGTACGTGCACATGCACGTACATGTATGCTCACCTACCTACCCACAGACCTACCTACCTACGTACATGCACACATCCATACACACAACCATATATTTACATACCTACCTGCCTGCCTGTCTACCTACTCGCCTACATACATACACACATGCACACATACATGCACGCATAATGCATGCACACATATATCCATGCATGCGCGCATACATATATGCATGCACGCATACGTACATGCAAACATACATTTCTGAACAGTTCAATCCTTAGATACATACATGCATGCATGCACACAGACGTACATACATGCATGCATACATACATACATACACACACATACATACATACATACATACACCGCAGCGCACGAGCCACCCATACATACATACATACATACAGACAGACAGACAGACAGACAGACAGACAGACATACATACATATATTTGCACCTATACATACATGTATGCATACATACATACATACATACATACATACATACATACGTACATTATACATACACTGGCACACACACATGCAAATGCGCAGACGCATGCACAGACGCATACACATGCACATATGCATACACACATGTGCATGCACCTACCCACATTTGAGATTAATAATGTGTGTTTGCATGTATAGCCCGAAGAGGTACGCTCTCGACCCGCGGATCAAGAAAGTGTTTGCAATTTTATATTCGTATACATATACATTGGGATGTACACAAACAGACACATATACGTATACATCTGCATATGCATGTATGTATGCCTGCGCATGTACATTCACATACACATTGACACATCTTACAACACATGCACATATACGTATACATATAGCGGCGCACCGGGCTCGGGGGCCGAGGGCCGGAACCTCGACCGCAAATGTGGGCCCCCGGGCCTGGGCCCGCCTCTGGGAGGCTTACAATCGCTCCAGGAAGCCCTCAGACAGCAATCCCGGCGGCCCCAGACGGTTTCGAGACACCCCAAAGACGCCGGCCAGGGGTCTCTGGCGACGCACGATGCGTTTTAAATTGCCCCAGAGGCCCCCAAGACGCCCCAAGAAGCCTTTCAGATGCCGCCCAAGAGCGCCCCGAGAGGGCAAAATCGTTGATGTTCATTTGTGTTTCCAATGTTTTTGGAATTCTCGCTGTTGCGTGTTTCCAGCGCGAAAACACCGCACAAGAGGCCCCCGAAAACAGCTCCAAGGCGGCCCAAGAGGGCCCCAAGACGGCCCAGCAGAGCCCCGAGGCGGCCCCAGAGCCGCACAAGACGGCGCAAGAGGGTCCCGAGAAGGCCCCAAGAGGGGTCCAAGAGAGGGAATGCGAACTGAAAACTCAAGCTCTCCGCCCCAAGATGCCCCCAAGAGGCACCAAGAGGCCCCCAGGAAGCCCCCAAGAGGCCCCAAGAGGCCCCCAAGCGGTTCCAAGAGGCCCCCGAGAAGCCCAAGAGAGGCTCTAAGAGACCCCAAGACGGCACCCAGACGGCTTCAACATTAATTCGAAGAGGCCCCCGAAGACAAGCCAAGAAGGTCCCATGACGATTTCAATAAGCAGTCCAGGATGCTCCGAGGAGGCCCCAAGAGGCTCCCAAGAGAGCCCAAGAGGCCCCAAAGCGGCATCAAGCAGCATCCAGGAGGCTGGAAAGAGGCCCCCAAGAACCCAGCGGTCCAGGCGAGAGCCGAACGAACATTTCCAGCCTTGGGCTCCCAGAAGACCAACAGGAGGCCCTACGTATTTCGCAAGACCCCCCTCCCCATCCCCCCGACGCTCCCGAGACACCCAAAAGGCTTCCCAGACAGCCCATGATGCAACAAAAACTGCGATGCCCAGGGGTGCGTTTGGACAAGAATTTCGAGACGAAGCCAGCCTTGGCCACGAAGAGCGCCTCGGAGGCGGAAAGGAGGGTCATCCGCTTGCGGAAAGGAGGGTCATCTAGCTAGCTGCAATTTGAGCGCGCGCGATGGACATCTACATAGACAAAGACATCCACATTTACATACAGGCAGACAGACAGTCAGAGTCAGAGTCAGAGTCAGAGTCAGAGTCAGACGCAGACTGATTGACTGACTGACAGACAGACAGAGGCAGAGACAGACAGACAGACAGACAGACAGAGACAGACTTAAGTATCATGTGGATGAATGCTGTCCCCACCCCGCCTGGGGCCCGCCACCTCGCCACCATCGGGCCCCCTTTTATACCTCCTCCCATTGGCCTCCAAGAGGCCTCAAGACAGCCCAGGAGACTTCCAACACGGCCTCAGATGTCCCCACGACCGACCGCCCAAGAGAGGCATCAGAGGACCCGAGGACGGCCCAACAAGGTACCAAGAGCGATCAAGATGGCTTCAGCACTGCTCAGAAGGTCCCCAAGACGCCCCAGGACGTCCTGACGCGATGTTGGGCCGTCTTCGAGCTCAAGGTGCCCCCATCATGGCTCAACATGTTCCAGAAACGCCCGAAGAGAGCCTCCCTGGGGTTTCCAATAGACCCTCCAGAAGCAAATTACCTGGGGACGGACCCAAACAAGATGGCCCCCTGAGCGCCCCAGAGGCATCCAAGGCTTCCCCAAGAGGCCCTAAGGCACCCAAGAGGCGCCCCAAAGCCCCCACGAGGCTTGGAAGAGGCCCCACGAGCCCCCCGGAAGCTTCCACGAAGACACACATGCATCATATATATATATATATACACATACAAACACATACCTATATTTGTATTTATATATATACGAATACCAATACATATACATCTATAATACACACAGATATATAGGTATGCACAGGGATGTCTATATACTTATATTTACACACGTACCTGCACATGTGCATGCATGCGTATCTGTATATATGAACTAGAACCATCGCGCGCGCTCAAGTTCTAGCTAGGCTTGATAGGCTAACTCATGTAATCTCATGTTGGTTGCTTCTTGCGTCCAGGGTCTCCCTTGGAGGCCCTGCGCAAGCCTCGGAATCGCATAGAAGGGGAAAGTGTGGAAACGCAGAAATCATTAGTTTCCTTTAGGTATTCAACGATTTTGGGCCCTCAAAGGCTTCCCGAGTTCTTTTTGGGAGGTGAGGGGGTCTGAATTGTGGTCTGTTGTGCAAGAGTAGACCAGGGGCCAAACTTGAAGAAACAAAAAAAGGAATTGTGGGACTTCCATTATTTTCCAGTTCCTCGGTGCTGTTCGGCGCTGTTTTTTGTTTGTGCCTCGCGGGTTTTGTTAGCAGGCCCCTCAGGGGTGTGGGATCTTCCGGACCCCCTGGGGGGTCTTGAGGCCTCCTGGAGGCATGGAGAGCCGTCGGAAGGGTGTCTCGGGCTGCGCGGGAGCGTGTTGGGCCGTTCTTTTTGTTCTGGGGGCTCCTTGGGGTCGTCTTGGGCTGTCCTTGGGCGTCTTGGGGTCCCCCGGGAAGCCGGGAGGCGCGGTACCGGCCAGATGTCAGGGAATGTGTGGGATCTCCGAGTAAAGGAAGAAAAAAATAAGGAATTCTGGGAATTCCCTTTTTTCAAAATCCTCGATCTTCGAGGGTTGGAAGCGGGAAAACGTGAGAAGGCGAAAAAAAATAGAAAAACCATTGAAAATCAACGACTTTAATTACCCTCCTTGGGCTCTCTCGTGACGGCTCTCGCAGCTCTCTTGAGCTGTTCTTGGAGCCTCGTCGGGGTCTTTTTGGAGCCTCTCAGGGATCGGGGGTGTGCTGGGGGCCTTTGGGGGGTCCCGGAGGCCTCTCGGAGGTCTCTAGAAGCTTCCTGCTCCCGCTCTTGGGCTCATCTTGGGCCTGTTCTGGGGTGGTCTGGGGCTGTCCTGGTCGCCTCTTCGGCAGTCTTGGAGCCTTCTTGGCCCGTCTTGGGGCCGTCCTGAAGGTCTCTTGGGTGGTCTTGGGGCGGTCTTGGGCAGCTCTTCGGCGTTCTTGGACCATTGGAAGCTCGAAAACGCGAGAAGCCAAAACCATTCAAAACAAATCATGAACATCGGCGAATTGGGCCTCTTCGGGCCTTCCCAGGACGCCTCTCGGACCTCTCTTGGGGTCTCTTGGAGGCCACTTGGGAGCCTCGAGAGCCGTCGGAAGGATGACTTGGGCTGCTTGGGAGCGTCTCGGACCATCCTTTCGCATTCTGGGGGCTCCTGGGAGGGCACTCCTGGGGCGCTGTGGAGGCTCCCCGGAAAGGCCGGGGGAGCGGTACCGGGAGCGTCCTCGAGATGTGGCGGGGAGGTGTGGGACCCGGGGCCAGGGAGGGGGCGGCATTTTTGTTTTATCAGATTGTTTTTATATATATATATATATATATATATATATATATATATACATACATACATACATACATACATACTGTTATATATATGTGTGATATGTGTATATGCACCAAATTAGCTATATGCGTATATATTCACTTGCGTACATTGACAAGCAGGGATTTGCACATTTTATGTATGTATGCACATTCGTAGATCTATACATGCACGAAAGGGCCCGGCCCCGGGGCACCCGACAATGCGGAGCCAGATTCGGGCACACCAGTTTTTCTTTTATTTCTTTCAGCCGCAGACGACGTGTCGTAGAAGCCCCATAAAGACCTTTTTGCACGACGTTTTGGTTACCCGAGCCAATTTGGCAGCACCCAGCGGCAATGTGCGATGATAGATCCTCAAACGCGACTAGAACCTAAGCGCGCGCGAAGCGCGCGCGTGGTTCTAGTGAGTACATCGACATACATACACACATACATAAATACATGCCTGCATGCATGCATGCATGCATACATACATACAGACATACACACAAACAAGCAAACAACCAAACACACATTACACCTACATGCATGCATACATATCATACATACGTACAGACAGCTATATTTATACATATACATGTCTATATATATATACATTTGTATATGTATGTATAAATGTATAAATACCCACACCTGTATGTTTATATACATATATGCAAACACATGGTTTGGAAGGGATGCGGGCTCGTCGTGGTGAAACAGAGTAGCACGAAGGACCCGAGGACCTTCTCAACAAGTCTGGTCGGCCTGCGCAGACCGACCAGCCTTCCCAGAAACGATGCCAAGACGAGTTGCCCTGATCACGCAGTTGGAAAAAGGGTTGGGGAAGCCGTCGTAGCCCAAGAGGGGACGATGGAGGAGTAATCAGTGGAGGCCAGGGTGGGATGGGGGGGGGAGAGAGGACGAGGAAGGTGGGTGAGGAGGAGGAAAAGGAAAAAACAGGCGGATGAGTAAGAGGAAGGAGATGAGGCGGAGGAGGAGGAGGAGTAGGACGACGACGACGACGACGAGGAGGAGGAGGAGGAAGAGGAGTCAGGAGTCAGGAGGAGGAGGAGGGCGAGCAGAAAGGCGAGCGGCCTCTTGGATACCTCTCGGAGGCGTTTCGGATGTCTGTCGAAAGCTGTTTGGAGTTGTCATTGGGGCGTTTAGGGGGGATCTTCGCGGTCCAGGGGGCCCAGCGGAGCGTCTTGGGTGGTTCGGGGGAACCAAGTGGGGCCTCTTTGTTGCATCTTCGGGGTCTCTTGCGGACCTCTTAGGGGTCTTTGGGGGTTTCGTGGGCGCCTCTTGGGACAGTCTTGGGAGCGCTGGGGGCCATCTTTGGGCCATCTTCGAGGAGTTCGATCAAAGAACGGGGGGTGCTCTAATTAATGTCCCCCCACCTAGGAGGCTAAAATGTGGTCAGAACCTTATGGACTTTGGCCTTCTCGCAAAGGCCATCATGGACGCTCCAACGCCTCGCGAAACTTTCCCCGTCCAGGGGAAGGAAGAAGGGAAAGGGTCAAGCTACCCTCCTTTATAGCAGGCCGTCTAGCTCACTCCCACCCGCCCTCCCAACACATGAGTAACACCTGAGTGTCAGCTGATCGCTTAGGCACGCCACACATGCCATGCACGCCACGGGTTCCAGGCGTGCCAGGTGCGCCAGGTGCGGCACACGCTCCACGTGCGCCAACTGTGCCACGCGTTCCGGCCGCGGCAGATGCGCCAGCTACGGAAAAAACAATAGGGACCTTGGGTGCCTGGGGCCCTGGCCCCAAGGAGTTCAGGATCCTGCATCCCCCTGAAGCGAAATGCCGAGCATTCTGTGAGAAGGGCGGCTATTCCAGAGAACGCACAGCACCAGCACCGATTGACAAATTGTGACATCTTGAGGCGCCGTGAAACCGATGAGATCTCAGAGAAAAGAGGGCCTTGCGCATTCCCCAGATGTGAAGCCAGAGTGTATGTGCATTGTTTTCTGACAGGGATGGTTGGCCTGCGCACAGCAAGCAACCAGGCCGTCCCTGTCGAAACACTCGTGCAACGTGGTCGCGGGGCGCCCGCGCGTGCGCCAGATGTGGAGGCAAAGTGCACGCTGTACCGTTTTTGAACCAGGGATGGTGGGGTGGGGGCTCACTGGTCCAGGTTGGGCTGCCGGTTGCCACGGGCAGGGGGTGTTTATCAATAGGGAATAGTGACACTCCCTTCCCCGAAAGGGAAGAAGGGGCTTGGAAGAGAAAAAACTCGCTAGACCACTCACGCCCTGCTGGTAGGCTTTGGGCCCTTTGGGTTGCCTCCGAGGGCTTGCAGAGGCCTCCAGAGGTTTCTGGGGGGCCTTCTGGAGGCCTGCGGAACCCACGACAACTTCCGTCGCGCCCCGCCCCCTGTTCGGCCGCCGCTGGACTGACCTGTCGGCCACAGGATGGTGGACAGGGTGCTGCCAGACCAGACCGGCGTGACGTGGGGCGCGCTCAAGCAGCCCGTGGAGGAGGAGTCGGACGGGGCCGGGACGAGGACGAATCCATTCCAGAGCGTTCGGGAACGTTGTCAGAGCGTTCCGGATCGCTCCGAGAAGGCCGCGGCGCCCGAGGCATCCTCCAGAGCCGCCGGATCTCAGATTTTCGATTTGTCCTCACCCGATGTTGTCTTCGTCCTGGCCTCGTCTTCAGGAGGACTTCGTCAAGTACAGCCTGTGGCGGCCGCCAATGCCCCCAAAGCCGGACCCCGCGGACGCGCCAGAGCCAGCCGAGGGAGAGGATCCGCGGCTCGCGGCGACGGAGGGGGGGGCGAGGAGGGCGACCTGAGGAGGCGAGAGGGCTTCCAGGAAGCCCTCGCGGGGCTTCCTGGTAAGAGGGCCTCCTGGAAGCCCAGGGCGGCCTGGGAGACCGGGGGCGGAAGAAGGACGTACACACGCACATGTATCCACGCTGGCTTCGACAGCACGCATTGCGCGAGGGTTCGTATCACAAGACTGGTCTCGCAGACCAGGGGGCTGTATTCATGCACGTGCTTCGGCGCGTAAGTCTTTTGTGGGCTCCCCGTGAGCGGGCCCTCATCGCCTTCCGAGCAGCCCTGCGCCCTCTCCGAAGGCCGCCCCCCCCCGTGAGGAGCCGCCCGCAGAGGACGCCGAGGGCGGAGCCAGCACGGCCCCTGCTCTGCCCTACTACCCGGTCGTCGGGGATTCGAAGGAGGAAGAGGAGGACGGGGGGTAGGGAGGTCCAGGCCTCGAAGATGGGGTCGGAGTAGGTGGGGTCGGAGGATCGCGCCGCACCGCCGGTGCATCGCCGATGCGGCTGGATGTGGAGCCCGATGTTCTACATGCCGACGTCGCCGATGCATCGTCCGCGTCACCGATGCATCACCGAGGCTAAGGGGGCCCCAGGTGCCCCCGGCTTTTCGCTTCATTCTGGGGCCCCTGGGGCCCCCTTAGCCTCGTGAGGGCTACTGTGGAGGCTTTGGGGGCATCCTTGGAAATCGTGCTGGCGCCTTGGGCCAGGGGCACGTTTAGCAACCCCCGAGGTCAACGTGACCTGCGTCACGGACGTCGACTCGATGCACTACTTCGACTTGACGCGCCTGGGCGCCTACCTCGCGGTGCCGCTGGTGTACCCCACCTATTATACCGCCGATTCGCTGGCCGACGCGAAGGCCGCGCCGCTTCTTCTGCAACCAGGGCCGCCTCGCGGCGCCCATCTCGCGTGTCCCGTGACACCCCGGGGTCATGTCCGTGCTCAGACCGAGTCATACCTGGAGAGTGCAGATTCGGACTGATTCATGCTCCGACTCGCTGGCACGCAGACGCGTATTCAAAGTTACGCACACGCAGACACACTGGTATGCAAGCTTACTCACATTCAGATTGGCCGCCCAGGGGGGTTCACCCAGGGGTGTTTCCTGGGCATGGTCGCGCCAAGATTGCCGGGACCTCTCAAGTAGGATGGCCGTTTTGATGGTGCGTGTTTCCTGACCATGGCGATGTAGCAAGCATGGCCCTCGAGCGCCAGCCTGGGGGGGTGTCGACCAGGAGTGTATCACGGACCTCTTCGCGCACGGATTCTCAGGACCTTTCAGGTAAAATCGCCGCGTTGGCGGGGTAGACGTATTTCCCTTGAGAGCCTCAAGATCTCCGCGATGAAGCAGGTACGGCACTTGAGCCACCCGGGGGGTAATCACGGGCCCGTTCGCGGACAAAGAAATCCAGGACCTGTCAGGTAGAAGGTCGCTTTGGCGGTGTACCTCTTCTGAGAGCCCCATGATAACCGCGATGAAGCGGGCATGACACTCGAGCGACCCAAGGGTGAGGGTATCACGGGCCCGGTCGCGCCCAGCAGGTTGTCGGGATGTTTCATGTAGGATGGCCGATTTGGCGGGAAGACGTGGTTGATTGATAGCCCCAAGATCATTGCGATTTGGCAGGCATTGCATTGAGCCACCCCGGGGGGGAGGGGTCGACGAGGAGCGTTTCCCGAGCCCAATGGCGCCCAGATTGTCGGGACCTCCTGCGGACCCTGGGGGTGTCCTTCATAGCACCATGGTGACCCTTGTGTAGAATGCATTTCATTTGGGCCACAAGGGGAGCTTCCAAAGGATATGACACGGGCCCGTTCGCACATGCGCACAAATTGCAGGATCCCCCCCTACGTATGTAGACTCACCCATCTTCTGATCCATTCACATTCAATCCCAGTCATACCAAGACCTGCCTATATTCAGCCACACGCTCGGGCGCACTCGCATCCAAGCCCATTCACAACCAGGCGTTCATACGCACACTCACTCATACCTAGGCGCTCTTAGTCAGTCTCGCCCACACTCAGATTCAAGTTTTCTCAAACACTCAGAAGCAACGCGCGCTTGAAACTTAACGCACGTGTATGAAGACCATCGCGTCGAATAGTGTCATCGAACACGCCTCGAGTCACCGCCGCCCCCTTCCCGGAAACGCCTGCGTGGTGAAACGTCCAGCGAAGGTGCGCTGTGCTAGAGATATGGGTGCCCCCCCAGCGTTTGGGGCACCACTGGGGGAACTCTGGGGAGAGCCCTCGGGGCTCATCTTGAGGCTCTCTTGGGGATCCGTTCGGGCCAGTTGGGCCGTCTTGGGGGCATCTTGGGTGTCTCTTGGGCCACGCTGGGGCTTTTTCTGGGCCGCCCCGCTGTGTTCTGCGGGCCGTCTGGCGCCCTCGGGTACCGTGTCGGAGGCCTAGCTGGACCGCGTGGGGGCCCTCTTGGGACCCTCTCGGGCCGTCTCAACGTTTACTGAAATCGGCGGCGAGCGAGGGGGGGAAGTGAGAATGAGAAGGCCTTCTCAGAAGGCGGCGGGATTTCTCTCACCCTCGGTCCTCCTGAGAAGTTTTTGTTTGGAGGGCCTTCTCAGAAGGCGGCGGGACTTCTCTCACCCTCGGTCCTCCTGAGAAGTTTTTGTTTGGCTTCGGGGAAGGCTTAGGAAACTTCTCAAACAAGCCGGGGGACTTCCAAGCCTTCTGAGAAGGCCCGCTCCTTCTCATTTCCCCCCCGCGCTCGCCGCCAATGAAGGCTGTCTTTGGGCCATCTCGGGTTGGTTGGTGGCTCTCGTGGGGGCCGCTTGTGCCGTTTTGGGGCAATCTTGGAGGCCTGTTCGGCCGTATGACCCTGGCGGCAGTGTGGAGGGGTGCAAATAGGACGAGAGCACGCAACTAACTGAAGATTGAGACTGCTGTTTGTTTGTTGGGGCCCTCCTGAGGCTTATCGGAGGCATCTTGGAGCGGCTGGGGGCTTCTTGGGGCCGTTTAGATCGCCGATACTTGAATGCTTATTCGAGATTGGGAACCGACTGGGGCCCTCGTGGGCCTCTCTTGGTGCCTTTTTGGGGGCCTCTGGGGACATGTTGAGCTCCTCATGTGCCCGTCTTGATTGAGTATATTTGCAATGTAAAGGCTTGTTTTTCGGGGGTCGAAAGGTAATAGGGCAGCAATCATTGACATCCTGCATGCGTAAACTGAATTGGGGCTTTCGGGGGCTACCTTGGGCCAACCTTTGGGCACTCGTCTGGCGTTGTCTGGTCTTGTCTTGTCTGGTCGTCTTGGGCCATCTTCGAGGCCGTAACAGGCCGATGCCGTGGACGGGTATTGACTCGAGGGCTTCACCCACTGTGTTACAGGAACTCTCTCCCCTGGGTCTGGACGGGAGGGTCCGCGAGGGGGCATGGCGTCTAAAATGGTCCAACACAATTCTGTCGGCGGCGAGCGAGGGCGGGAGTGAAAAGGAGAAGGCCTTCTCAGAAGGTCACGGGACTTCTCAGAAGCCCTCGCGCCTCCTGAGAATGTTTGCTTGTCTCCGGAAAAAGCTTAGGCAATTTCTCAGAATGCCGGGGGGCTTCCGAACCTTCTGATAAGGCTTTCTCCTTCTCACTTCCCCCCTCGCTCGCTGCCGGTTCTAAGATGGCCCCAGTTAGTCCAAGTTGGTTTTCGAGCTGGCACAGTGCAACCATTGATTGCATCAGCCATTGATTGCATCCAGCACACCTCCGATGTTCCCAAAGACGGCCCCGAGTCGGCTCCGAGAGCCTTGGCAGCCTCCAAAAGACGCCCCCCGGGGAGCCCAAATCCATCAAACGGGCTAAGATACTGTCAGTGTGTTTCGGCTTCTCGCAGGATCGTTTCTGCATCGGCGTTGTGGCGCGACCTTCTGATCCCCACCTGCCCCAGCCCCATCTGGGGCGCCCCACCGGACAGGCGTTTGAGGTGGAGAAGAAGACAGCGGACGCCGAGCGCGAGGAGGCCCGCCAGAAGAAGGTGCCGCCGTCAGGAGGAGGAGGAGGAGGAGAAGAAGGAGGAGGAGGACGAGGGAGGAGGAGGGGTCGATGACGAAGACGACGAGAAGGAGGAGCAATAATGCAGGAGGAGTAAGAGGAAGACGGCGAGGAGAAGGTGTTACATATGCCCGTTCCCAGCTTGATTGCGGGGACGCCTCAAGCGAAACATTGGTTCTGGCACCCATGATTACGATGTCGTTTCTTGGATATGGGCCAGGTCGGCCCCATATGGTTTTTGATGGGAAACTCTCCTTCGCCCTAAACGTGTGTTCGTCATGGTCGGGCGCCCTTCCTTAAGCTTCTGAGTTAAGTTTCTCATGGGGCCCGTCGCCGTGTTGAGCTCAGGGCCATGGAGGTGCCAGCGCCCGCGAGGTGCGCCGTGCCGTGCCGCAGTCCTAAGGCGGGGCCATCTCACGATTCGGTCTGCCGTGCGCCCTGTCCCGTGCCGCGGTCCCGTGCCGCGTCGCGGTGCCGCGCCTCGTTGCGCGGGCCACGTCGTGATCCCGTGCCGTGCCGTGCCGTGGTGCCGCGCCGCGCCGTGCCGCGGTGGCGCCGTGTGGTACCGTGGAGGGGCCGTGCCGTGCTGTGCCGCCGCGCCGTGCCGCTGTGGTTCTGCGTTGTGTTGCAGTGCCGTGTCGTGCCGTTGTGTAGTGCGGCGCCGCGCCGCATTGCCGTGGTTGCCGTTCGCCGCCCCGCGTCGTTCGGGTGGGTCCCTCCCCGTCACCCTGCGCTACCGTCCCACTCTCTTGCTTGCTCTCCAGCACTTCCTGCTCCTCCCTTTCGCCAGGCCCATTTCTCCTCACCCAACCTCCTTACCTGCCTCCTTCCGCAGGCTCACATACGCCTCTGCTACTCCTGCGCGTCCCATTCACATGTCCCACCACTGCCCCAATACTGCCCACCTTCTCCTACTCTCCTGCTTCCCCCCCTCGCGAATTGCCTACCCGCAGTACTCCTACATTACAATGTCCTTGTGCTTATCTGTTTCCTCCCCCTCTGGTATCCTTCCCCCCCTTGATCGTGTCCCATTGGTCCTCCTGGTCGGGTGTCCTTGGGTCCCTTTTCTTCGGGGGCACAACCGTGGTTTTCCAGGGGTTGCTGATGTCGGCCTCTGGCCCGAGGGCCAGGTTATCCCTGTCCCCTCGGCCCCCTGGTGTTCCAGGAGGTCGGGGCCTGGTGCCCCTCCCACATCCTGGGTAACGGTCCTCCTCTTTGGGTTCTGGGCGTTCTTGTGCACTCGGGGTGCGCATGACAGGCCACCTGCGCGCGCGAAGATAATCGCGTTTCGCGCCTCGCGGCCTGGACCGTAAAACGGCCCTTGTTCATGTGGGGACGACGGCGCGCGGGTGCGAAGATAGACGTTCATGGAGTTTTGATTCGTCGCTCCCGCTGCCTAGCTCCGCAACCGTTTGGGCCCATCTCAGCTTTCCACACTCTCTTGAGCACAGCGGACATGTTGCACCTCATGCTGTGTTTCAGTGACAATGGCAGATGATGAAGATGATTGGTTTGGACATTGCAAAATTCATTCGCGTGACGATGAAGACGGCTGGAGTGGCTGCTTGATTCAACGTAGTGGTGGTGATGCAGATGTTCCGCGTCAGGGCTGCCCTGGGGCCGCAGATGGTGAGAGTTGGATTCCCGACCGCCCCTCGTCAGCAGTTGTGGTGCGGGATAATGTGGCCCGAGAACCTTTTGTCTTCATCAGGGACGAGTCGATGCCAAAGCCGATTGCCCATCATAAGGTTATCCAGACGACTCTCGTGGCACCATCTAAAAGACAAGCACGTTTAGCAAAGGCCAGATCGCCTGCAGCTTCGAGTGGCGAGCCGAGTCGAGACTCACACCAGGCTCTTGCATCGAGAATGTTGGTCCCGTCGATTCAGGAGGCTGCACGCCTATGCAGTACCAGCACGCTCGCCGACGAAATAGATGTGTCGAGGTCCCACGTGTACCCCATGATGCACGCATTTGCGTGCGCGGCCTACGACACAGTCAGGGAGGCGATGTCCATGTATGTGCAGCGTTCGATCCACATGTGCAGGCAACGCGTCCATGGAGTTTTGCTTCAACCCTTGTGTGCGATTCGGTACCGCAAGTACGACGGCACGAAGTGCAAGCACTTGAGAGTGACGACGCATGTTCGAGACGATGACGGCGAGGACGACGTGTTTACACAACAAGGTGCCCATGAGTTGTTTGTGACAGAGGCGTCTTTTGTGATAGCGTTCCGACGGATTCAGCATGGGCAAGAACGCACGATGATAATGAAGTTGCCCCAGTCCACTCTCCTCCAGGCGATCAATAGTACGAAAGCTGAGTGTATCGTCGCAGCACTGCGCCACCTCAAGTTACCGTGTGACGACCTCGTGGACTCATCATTCCATCGAGTGATCAATGCATGTGTGTGCGACGGATTCGGCGGCAATTTACGGGCTGAGCGGTTCTTTTTGAACGAGTGCCCTGCCAGAACACGCGTGGGTTTGCTTTGCGATGCTCACAGGAAGGCAACCGTGTCAACATTGTCGTTCGCCACGGTGAAGCCATTGGACACGCAACTGATCAGATTTGCCCTCACAGTGCAAGGTGGTGCCATGGCCGACTTGCGACGAGAGATGCGCAGAATACTCAAGGAGCAGCTCGTAGTCATCAGGTCTGGCGCCTGCAGTGCTGAAGCATCATCTCACAGGGAGGCCGTGTACGACTTGTTCGTGCCAGGCGCCACGCCGAGCGCTAAGTATCGACGGGGTCTTCTAGGGAGGCTATTCAATGGTGATATCCGACGCCGTGGTCGAGTTTGAGCATTACTGCAATGGGTGTTGTTCATCGTTCAGAGAGACGCTGAGACTGACGTGCGACGAGGGCATGCAATGCTTGTGCGGGTCAGGCGTCACCGCGCTGAACCGTTCGAACTGGACGGGGACCAGCGAGTGCATCAACAGCATCGGCCTGATCTCGCACGTCCATGGGCTCGCGCAGCAGGCGTGGATGCGAGCAGTGCCTGGGAGGGATCACAAGCTTCGAGGGGGCTGCCAGGCCCATGCGGCGAAGGCGACTGGCGACGCCGAAGGCGGGCCAGGGCAGCCAAGCATCTCTCGAGCTGACGACGCGCACGACGGCGGCGACGAGGACGTAGAGGGCGGCGACATCTCTGTCTGGCGCCAAGATGCCGAGACCAGGGTCAAGGACACCCAGAGTTGGATTCTCGGTGGCACGTTCGAGGACGACTTGCTGATTGCTCGAATCCAGTACGGCCCGACGGAGACATTGATTCTCAACCAATTAGCGTTGTCTGGCGTGGGATGGGAACGGGAGCAGCAGGTTAAGTTTCTCCGTGACGGCTCCCGCACGTACCAGCTGTGGGAGGCCTACCGTGGCGATCCAGAGAAACGGCTCAGAGACGAAGTCGCGGACTTGATGTGCACTCCAGCTCTCTGGCGCACCCTTTCGAACCGGACGGAGGCCCAGGGCATGAAGCTGTACGTGCTCTTGGCCAGGATGGCCACTGCGACGTATGAGCTGGTCGAGGCCCCCCATCGTTGGTGGCCCTACAAGACTTTCGCATCCTTGCATGATGGTTCTGTTCTTCAAGAGCTGAAGGAGTCACGTGGGTGCACTTGTTGTTTGGACGAGTTCACTGCTGGCTTTGTCGAGTACTACGGCGAGGCTGTTGGAGGGTCTTGCGCGCGGGCCGAGCTCATGGCGTTGCTGAGCGCGATGGAATCAGACACGGGGTCGACCGAGAGGAGCACTCCACGAACGAGAGGCGCAACAAGTTCCGCGTCCAGACCCACGAGAAACACTTGGAGGAGTTATCAGCATGGTTCTGTTGTCGCAGGTGTTGTTCGGACAGGAGAGACGTGGGCGCCAATGTTGAAAAGCGCAAGCGCCCGCGCGGCGCCGCCGCTGCGGTGGCGGTCGGGGAATCCCAGAAGCCACCCCCGAGGAGATACTCTTGGACGTGGAGGGCGTTCCTTCACGTGCAGGCGAAGGGTCGGTACATTACGGCGGAGACTGCAGCTGAGATGAGCCAAGCATATCGCAATCTGTCAGCGGATGGGAAATCTGTTTATGAGGAGTTGGGCGAGCTCGCCGCGAAGCAGAGGGCTGAGGGCCATGAGAGTTTTCCTACGTACAGGCCGCCGCAGTCGTCCAGGGCAGGCGCGGCTGGTCGGCGCGCGCGCCAGTCGCGCGCGCTCCACGGCGGCGCTGGGCGACCTGGAGGCGTCGGCCCTGAACATGATGGCGCACCTGCAGTCGAGCTTGTACCCGCGGGCGGGGGCGCCGAGGAGGAGACGCCGCCGCCGTACGGCCGCGTCCTGACGGAGTCGCGGTTGGTCCTCTGCCGCGAGCGTGCTCTGGCTGCCGCCCAGGAGAAGGAGGAGCGAGCCAGGGTGACTGAGCTGCGGGATAACTCGCGCCGAGTTGTCGATGGAGAGGCGCAGTCCTGGTCGTTCGTTGGCGGGTCAGCTGCGTGCTCGGATGTGGCTTTGCCTCGTGGCGGTCTTACCGCTGAGCCGTCCCCTATGCTCGTGATGACTTGGAACCGTTCTGCGGAGACGGTTCGAACGGCTGCCCTGGAGCATTTGGCCAAGACCACCCTGAAGGCGAACGGAGAGAGATGGCAAGATTTGCATCGCTACATCCGTGTCCAGGACGCCCCTCAGCTTGGAAGAGTTCCAACGAATCGTCGGCGCTGCTGGGAAGCCCAGGAGTGCATCTGCAATGGAAGCGGGCGGTTCAAGGACCAGTGGATGGACAAGTTCTTGGCATCTCTTCGCATCTGTTCTCGAATGAATGGCAACGTTCGGCCCTTGCCGAAGCGCGGCCATTTGGTTGCACGGTTCGGGTGTGTCAATCCTGGACGAGCTGGCCCTGATCATCCTGTTGGAGATCCCGTGCCCGATGATGTCTCAGATGTTTGGTTGCACGTGGCATTGTTCTACGAGAAGCCGATCAGGCCGACGTACATCTACATGGAAAGGGATCCCGACCGAGATGAAGCTGGCACTTTGGGCGTGGCTCCGTGGTGCGGCCCGAACTCTGAGGATCTCTACCTGGTTACGCAGTGGGAGGCCTTCGGGTACATGGAGCTTCGCCCGAATACCAAGTCCTGGACGCTGACGTGGTATGAGCTGGTCTGCTCCCCCAAGCGCCTGCTGCGACCATTCGAGCCCCGCCGCCAACGAGTCAGGCACATGGGCTTCGAGCCGATCGACCTGCTGAGGCTGGCCGTCCCGAAGAGGAAGCAGACGCCTACCCTTGGGGGCCGTGCGCGGGGGGGGGCACGCGGTGCTCGCGGGCGGGGCCGCGCTGCCCGCGGCGCCGAGGCGCTAGGGCGAGGCCGCCCCAGGCGCGGCCGAGCGGCGCGCGGGCGCAGCGCCGCTGGCGCCGAGGAGCCGCAGCCAGAGGCGGGTGTCTCGTCGGACTCAGGCTTGAGCTTGCGGCGCGGGTTCAGCGACGCCGAGGTGGAGCCTGAGGAGGTGTCCGATGGAGGTTCCGAGGGCCAAGATGTCGTAGGTTTACCGGGGAGTTGGGGTTTTTTTGTTTTTGAATCGGAGTTCGACAGCGACGACGACGGCGTCGGCGTCGGCGGCGGCGACGGCGACGGCGACGGCGACGGGGGCGACAACGGTGGCGACGACGGCGGCGACGACGACGACGGCGACCACAGGGCGAGCTTGAGCCCTCCTTCAAGGTTCTGCCGAGCTGGACTTTGCCGAGGAGCACGGCCTTTTCGAGCCCGTCGGCGGCGCCACGTCGGAGGAGTCGGGCGGCGCCGAGTCGGAGGACTCCGACCATGGGTCCATCCGCGACGTTGACGTCGAGAAGGCGTTGCAGGAGATGGAGGGCGAGGCACCTTCTGGCGCGCCTGCTGCTGATCCCGTTCCTGTCGAGCCTGCTGCAGTCGATCCCGCGCCTCTTCCAGCTGCGTCGGGCGAGGACGAGATGCCCAGTTTCGAGCTCGCGGCGGAACTGCCGAAGGCTGGCGCCAAAAATCCACCGCATATCGTTATCAGAGTTTTCGGGTATGGTTATGAGGCTTACTTGAGATATTACCCCCAAGAAGGCGCATATTGTAGCTGAGTGTAAGAGGCACAAAGGTTGCTTCAAAACAAAAACCGTGAAAGCATCGATTGTGCCCAGTTTCAAGGGCCAGGGTAGGTGCATCGGCTTCCTTTTGGCGTGGTTGGTGTTTCACTCCTTGAATCACGATAAGCAGTTTGATCATGTTTACTGCCGAGACCCTTCCGCCAGTGAGCGGTGGAGGTGTCGCAGGCGCGCTGTGCACTTCCTGCATATCCCGGGCGGCGGGGTCATGCAGTATTGGTTCAAGGAGCTTGCGTTCGGAGGTGTGTTTCCAATTTTTTATTGTGCGTGATGTGTGTTGTGTTTGTGCGTGTGTTTTGTGCCACGAGTCTCCATGAACTATAGTTTGTTTTGCGAAGGACGGTCTTTTGGGCTGTGTGGTATTGGTTTGGTTGTTCGTGCTCAGACTCTTCAGCGTAGGGCGCGGTTCTGATCCTCACCGCCCCACGCCCTGCTCCTTGGGCCGCGGCGTCGGGTCGAGACTCGCCATCTCGACCGGCGCGCCCATAGACCGCCGAGTCGGAAAGGAGCTACTGTGCCTCGTTTAGCGCGCTTGTGATTATGTAGACCCATGGATGCCCAGGCCGCCCGGCCGGGTCGTGGGGCAACGGGCCTGCTACATAGGATGGAGTATAGTCCATGGTTTTCAGAAATGCTGCGCGAGCCGGCACGGCAAACACCTGCAGTGCACAGCGGATGGACTCCGAGTCCGCTGTGCGCATTGTGCCCTGGGTCGTTCGTTCCCTTTGTTCTTGCTCGTGTCTCCTGCCAGGGCGGGAGGGCATCGCTCGACAGTCCCTGGGCCGGGGGCGGTTGATGTCTCCGGGCATCCCCCCTGGCCACACACTAGTCGTTAGCACTGGGGGGCGCCTGACCACCGCGCCCTGGCATAGGTGGAGCGCGGGTTACTGTGCGGCGCGCTGCCGGTCCTAAGGCGTCGACCTTACATGTTTTGGCCAGGCGACCAGGGACGCCAGTGGCTACCGAGCAGTTTGGAAACGTTTGGTTCTTCTGGCATTTCTCGGAGGGTGGGTGGGGGAACTCTCCAAGCTGCGAGCTGTGCGTGCCCGTGTTCTCGCTTGGTTGCCTGTGCCGCCTTCGCCTTCGGGCCGCCCGCTGCGCCGGGGTCCGGTCTTGCACCGGGCCTCTTTGGGTGGGGGTCCTGCACCCTGTTGGCATGAGATGCAACCTCGGAGGACCCAGGCCGCTTGCGAACCGTATGGGGGGGAACGACGCATGGACGGGGAGTCGCGTAAAGGGATACGCACTTTGCGTTTATGTACATTGTGTATGGTACCGTGTGTTTCGTGAGTGCGTGTGTTGTTGTGTATGGTACCGTGTGTCATGAGTGTGTGTGGTACGCTATTATGTTGTGTACGTTGTCTGGGATGTTCGGGCGCACAGTGATCCCAACCGCTTTTTCAAGGGGGAACCGCCCACCATTTGGACCCTGCGCAAACGAGTGTTCGGGTGTCCCTGTGGCCCGCTACGGGATATCCTCTCCTCCCCGGCTCCCCCTCCCCCTCCTCCCCCTCCTCCCCCTTTTCCTGCTCCCCATCCTCCCCCTCCTCCCCCTTTTCCTGCTCCGCCTCCCCCTTCCTCCTGGCGGGTATCTCGCGTCGGCCTCTGCGCTTCGTCTTCTGATAGGTCGGCGGGGGCCGCCGTCCGGGCGTGCATACCCCCCAACAACGACAACAACAACTTCCTGCATATCCCACAGGTTCGCTGCCTCTTCGAAGTTGAGGCGCCGCGTTATCCTGATGATACTGATGAGCCCCAGAGGGTGCCGTAGACAGCAGAAGTGCAACGGCGCATCCAGCCCACACTCTGACATAGAGGAGGGCTCAGTAGGATCAGGAAGAGTAGACAGGGCAGTCTTGGATCTCTCAAGGGCCATCTTGGATCCCTCAAGGGCCGTCTTGGATCTCTCAAGGGCGGCTTGAGCCATGCAAGTTAAGGGCCGTCCTCCCTCAGGGGCCGTCTTGGACTTAAGGGTCGTCTTGGGTTGAGGGGCCGTCTAGGGCTTAAGTGTTGTCTTGGGATCTTGGGCTTAGTGGCATCTTGGGCTTAAGGGTGTCTTGGGCTCTTGGGCTTCAAGGCCGTCTTGGGTACCTCAAGGGCCGTCTTGGGCCTTCGCACCGTGACCCCAACCATAACATGCAAGATCTATGCGAGGATCGGGGGGAGAAGGTCGGGGCGGTGGTGCCGCCTTTACGGCTCGGACACCGTCTCGAGCGCAGGCGCCGTGCCACCCTTTCCCGAGCCTTGCCGCTAGGCGCTGGGGAAGGCGATCGGGGCGACACCGAGCTCGCGTTCGGTGCCGTCGACGAGCGCAGGCGCCTTGTCGCCCTCCTCAGCGCCTATCTTCTGGCCCTGAGCCCTTCTAGGATTCCTGTGGCGATCCGTGCGAGTGGTGCGCCGAAGTGCTTGAACACGCCATGCATGCACATGTCGTTGTAGATGCGTCCATGCACGCGCGTGGTCACGCATCACAAGCACGGCGCAGCAGCCGCGATTATAGATATTGCCGCCTTGGGTTTAAAGGCCGTCTTGGGCTGAGGGGCAGTCTTGGGCTCAAGTGTTATCTTGGGAGCTTGGGCTTAAGGTCGTCTTGGTTTTGAGGGGTGTATTGGGCTCTTGGGATTCAAGGCCGTCTTGGAACCCTCAAGGGCCGTCTTGGTCCCTAGAGCCGTTGCACTTTACGTAGCAGCGGAGATACGTGCGAGGACCGCGTGTCCCTTTGCTCCTGGCCTGAAGCCTTCAGCCCCGAAATCCCAAACCAGCCCGCCCTGGGCCTTCTGCCCAGAGGCCAGATCCATCGCCTTTAAGGCAATTCGCCATAAACCCTGCGCCCAACGCACTGAGCCACAAATCCCTCTGCCCTCTGCCCTCGGCCCTGGAACTGGCGCCCTAAGCGTAATGCCATAAGCCATTCGCCCGACGCCCCTTGCCTTGCGCCGTAGGTCGGGAAGCCTTCGCCCCATGCCTTGGGCCTTAGGCTTTAAGCTAGATGGCTTAGGTCCCATGCCCTGGGGCCCAGGGCTTTGGCCCGCAGCCTGGCAACCTTGCCAAAATGCCTTGGGCGCTAAACCATGAGCCCCGAACCCTGCGGCTTAAACCTTACGCGGCCGGCCCCTCGGCCCCATGCCCCGCGCCTGGAGCCCAAAGCCTCAGGCCTTCAGCCATATGCATGATGCCCAAATCTACGGGCTCGAAGCCCCGCTGCTTGCCCTCGAAGCCCTGGGCCGTGAGCCTCGCACACCGAGTTTTTGATGGATGCCCAGCAAGGCGGGGGAGGGGGATGGGGGGGTCATTGTTGCCTCCTTCGGCGGGCTCGGGCCTGGCAGCGTTTGCACAATGCACGGCCGCCGAGTGCAAGCAGCATCAGTGCGGAAGGCAGGGGGCAGGGGCTGAGTCGTGCATCTCGATGTGGTGCTCTCGGCCCCCAACCAGGTGCCGCGCTGCTGGAGCGACGCAGCGACGACGGCTTCGTCGCCGACGCCAACTGGTTGACGGAGTTCTTGATGCAGCGCGCAGCCGCCGACGCAAACGACCCAGTCCTCAGGGAGTGGGGTTTGGGCTCGAGGCCTTGCGGCGTAAAGCTTGGGTGTCAGGGCTCAGGGGAGGCATTGCGTAGGGCGTGCGTCTGGAGGTTGATGGGTGGACGGCTCGGGCTCAGGGCTCCAGGCTCATGGTGCAGGGAGTATAGCAACAGGGGTATGGCCCAGCTCATAGCTTGTATGGCTTAGTGTTTAGATCCCATGGCCTCGGCTTCATGGTGCAGGGCCATGGGCCTGGGGCGTTTGGCTTAGGGCGTAAGGCATAAGGCTTGAGCCCCACAGCTTAGGGCTAAGGGCTGGGGGCATGGGGCTGTGGGGGGAGGGTGCGGGGGTTGGCGATGGGGGTTCAGGGCATGAGGCGTGCGTCTGGGGGCCAAGTGCTCAGGGAGTTGTTTGTATTCGGGCGTAGGGATGCGGGTTGATGTCTTGGGATTTAGGCATTACATATCAGCTGTCTAGGGCTTCGGGCGTAGAGCATAGGGCTGAGGCTCCAGGCTTAGAGCGACGCCCCTAGGGCCCAGATCTAATGATTTATGGCAGGGGTGGCAAAAGGCTTAGGGCCCAGGGCACTTGTCGAAAGGCTTCGGGCTTGCGTGTTAGCGCTACTGGCACGGGGCATAGGGCCTGTGGCTTAGGGCTTAGGGATTAGGGCGTAGGGTTTCGGGTTTCGGCTGGGGGCATGGGGATAAGGGTTTACGTCTTGGGGTTTACGGCGTATGGCATAGGGCTCAGGGCTTCGGGCACAGGGCCTCTGGTTTTCTGGAGCGCGGCTTGTGGCATTGGGTCGGGGTTTACGGCTTAAGGGCAGGGGGATCATGGCTTAGGGCTTGGGGTCAAGGGCATAGGGCGTAGGGTTCAGGGCTGAGAACGTAGGGCCCAGGGCTTAGGGCTCAGGGCTCAAGGCCAAGGGCTTCGGGCATGGAGTTGAGGGTTGACGGCCGAAGGCTTAAGGTATCGGGCTTGTGGCCATGGCTGAGGTCGGCATTGCCGCCATCGGCGTGCGCGATCAGGACGCCTGGGCCGCCATGACAAAATGTGGTTCTCCAGTCGAAGGATTCGGTCGGGCCGAGTCCGCAAACCACCCCGACCATCAACTTCCACCATTTTCCATCAAAATCCATCACAACCCATCGCAAACCATCAAATTCCACCAAAGTCCATCATTTTCCATCAAAATATATCAAATTTCATCAGGCCCGACCATCAAAATCTACCAGAATCGATCAACATCCATCAAATTATGATGAGCTTATTGCACGGGACTTCCACCATTTTCCATCAAAATCCATCAGAAACCATCGCATTCCATCAACATCCATCAAGTCCGGCCACCACAAATCATCAGAAACCATCAGAATCCATCAAAATCCATCAGAACTCATCAAAATCCATCAAAATCCATCAAATTCCATCAAAAACCATCAGAAATTGTGATTTTTGTAAAGGGCAGGAGGGGGGGGGGGGCATGCGAAAATTCCGGAGTGGGGGCGAGGGGCAAGGGGCGCCCATGCGCACTCGAGGTTGTGATCGTTTGATGGCCTTCTGCCCAGGCGCCCCACGGGGTGGCGGGCCGCTCGTGGTTTCTCTGCCAACACACACCACGCGACGACCGCGGGGGGGGGCGAACGTTTCTGCCTGGCCCTCGGGTCACGAAGTCTTGGGTGGGGGCGCGTGGCATTGGGCATAGGGGGCGCCAGTGCAATGTGTGGCTGGGGGCGTTGGCATGTGGGCTCCGAGGTCTGAGCTTGGCTCTGGGGGGCAGTGGGTTCGGGGTCTCGGCCTGGGGAATCGGCGCGTCGGGCATGGGGGCCGCGGCGGCTGGATTCTGGCCCGCTCGTGGGGCACGGGGCCCAGCGCAGACGTACTCAGGATTCTGGGATCGGCCATAAAGGCGTGAGCTCTGGAGGTTCTGGCCGACGGCTTGGGGCATCGGGCTTCGGATTCTGGCGTCATGCGCCAAGCCACCCCCCCATGTGCCTCATGTCATGAGCCTTCGGCATTCTGCCTTTAGCCCAGTGCCCTGGGCCGTGCGCCCACAGGCGTAAGCACGTTGCCCTACGCCCTAGGCCCTGCGGCCCCAAGCCGCGCCCCCTCGGCCCCATTCCTTGGGCCCTCTGCTTTACGCTTGAAGCCGCGCCCCCGAAACACCGAAACCCTGCGCCCGAAGCTGCGAGCCCGAGGCCATGCGCCCCACCCCCCCGTGCCTAAGCCCCATGCCACACGCCCTCGGCCCGAATCCTTCAACCCTACACCCTGGGCCATGGGCCGAATGCCCTAAACCGCGTGCCCCGCGCTCCATGTCCTTTGTCTCTAGAAGTAGTTCCAGAGTCCGTCGGCTGGCACCCCGAGCCCCAGGGCCTTAAGCCCTGTGCCCTAAGTCCTCAGCGGTGGGCCCTAGAGTGCCTCAGCCCCGAGCCTGCAACCACAGCCCTGAGCCTGACGCCGCAAGCCCTAGCTTTGAGCTCTGAAGCAGAATTCGTGAGCGATTAACTTCAGCCGCATGCCTTAGAGGCCCACAGCCCCAATCCCATATGCCCTGAGCCCTGGGCCATGCACCCCGAACAGCAAGCCATAACCGCGAAGGCCTGAGCTCGAATCAGGAAACCCTGGTCCCGTAGCCCCAAGCCCTGAGCCCAGAGCCGCTTGCCTGGCGCCCTACGCCTGGAGCCCGAACCTCTGAGTCCCAAACCCGAAGCCCAAGGCTCTCAGCCCTCAGCACCACCCACGAACACCAGAACCCTACGCCCCATGCCCGAAGCCTCGGTTCCCATGCCTGGGGCCTCGTGACCTCTGCTGCAAACAATCAGCCCCCAGACGCGCGCCCTGCGCCCTCTGCCCTGAGCCTTGGCGCCTGCGCCCCAAGCCGCGCGCCAACTGCATTCGCCCCCCCCTCCCCAGCCCTGCGCACCGCGCCAGGCGCCCCGCGCCCCAACCCTCCAGCCGCCTTCCCAACGCCTATGGCCGCAACCTCATCTGTCCTAACACCGAGTCCCGAACCCCTTCGCTTTATATCAAAATGGTTGCGCGGACAATGCCGCTCGCCCGTGGCCCCTGCCGCTCAGCCTTGCGCCAATCGGCACAGGCCCACAGCCTGATGCCTCATGCCCTTAACTGGAGTCGTCGGCGCTGGGCCCGAAGCCTTCGACCACTAGCGCTAAGGCAGAAGCCCTGGGCGATGAGACGTTGGCCATGACGCCCGAGCCTTGAGCCTCGGCATTCACGCCAGAAATCCTGAGCCCGAGGGCCGCGGCCCCAAGCCACGATCCCGATGCCATCATCCCTTTGCCCCAGATCTGTCGCGCAATGCCTTCAGACCAGGTCACGAAACACTCCGAGCCATGGCCCCTGGGCCCGATGGCCATCGCCTTCTGGCTGAAGCCGCGAGCCCGAAGCCTTGCGGTCTAGGTTCGGATCCCGATGCGCCACAGCTCTGGGCGCTACGCCCTGTGCCTTGAACGCTGGGCGCTGAACCTTAAGCCCCGCGGTTTCAACTCTGCGACCTATGCGTTCGGCCCTGAGCCCCCGCCCCCAAGCCGCATGCCTTCGCCCCTGGGCCCACCGCCCGATGCCGTCACCCGCAGGCCTCGAGCTTTCCGCTTTGAGCCCTGGCCCTTGAGCCTTGGGTTTCACCCCCCAATCCCTGAGAGATGGGCCCTAAGCCCTGGTCGCTGAGCATTCAGCCCGATGCCCGTAGCGCCCAGCCCGTTGCCCACTGTCGAGGCTTCAAAGCTTCGGGGCCTGATCCATGAGCCTTGAGCCTTAAGCCCGAAACTGTAGCCTTGGAGCAGTTGCGCCATGTGCCCCAGGCCCTCTGCCCGAGGTTCCAAGAGCGGAATGGCTGGCCCCCAGCCTCCAGCCCCATGGCCCTAAGCCCCGCGTTGTACTCCCCGTGGCTCTACCCCCGCAGCACGAGGCCCGACACCATAAGGCCTCAGGCCCTGTGCCATCAACCCTCAGCCCCCAGCCCGCAGCCCCGAGCCCCATGCCCTATGCCTTAAGCCGCAGGGCCGAGGCCCGTCGCCCGATGGCATGCCCGCGAGGCCCCTTGCCGCGCGCCCAAAGTTGTCGGCCTTCCGTCCCACGTGCGCGAGCATTCGCGTGACACCGATGGCCTGCAATCCTCGACCGCCAGCCTTAGGCTCTGAACTTTCATTCCTTAGCCCCGAGCCTGGGGGGCCCAGCCCGAGGCTCCAATCCCCACGCCCTATGCCTCGAGCCCTGGGCCCGAAGCCAGAGCGCCAACGCCTCAAACCATAACGCCTTGAGCAACAAGCCCGAAGCCCACATCGCAAGGGCCAGCGTCCTGTGATTCAGGGTTTACGCCATAAGCTCCAAGTACCCAGCCCTCATCCCTGACCCCAAATGCCCCAGCCCTACGCCGTGAGCCCCTGGCCGTGGGCACCGAGCTTACATCCCTACGCCCTGAGCCCTCGGCCATGCGCCTCGAGCCATGTGCCCGAAGCCGCGTGCCCGAAACGGAATGGCCCAAGCCGTAAGCCCCAGGCCTTGATCAATAACGTTGCGAGTCGTCAGCAGTGAGACTTCAGTCAGATGCCCTAAGCCCTGGGGCTTAGACCCGACCCCTAGGCCCCCCCTGGCCCATGACCCGTAGCCCAATTCCGCACCCTCTGAGCCTACGGCCCCGTGCCCTTGGCTCCCCTGCTTGAGCCCAAAGCACAGAGCCTAGCACCCCCGCTCAAAGCCCGCGGCCTGAGGCGCTCCATCCTGAGACCTCGGCCAGAAGTCATCGGCCGTCAATATGTAGTATTGAGCCTTGGGCCCTGGTCCTTGGCCCCTCAGCTGCACGCCCCATCGGCCCTTGGACTTGCGCACAAAGCCGCATGCCTCAAACCCCAGGCCCTAGGCTCTAAGCCCGAAGGTCCATGCCTTAAATGTTGTGCTCTACGAACTTATCCTTAAGCCGTGAGCTCAAAGCCCTCAGCCCTGAGCCCGAAGCCCAGATGTCGTAAGGCCCAAGCCCGTACCCCGAGCCCGTAGCCCTATGCCTTAATCCCTAGGCCCTGAGCCCCGAGCCATGAGCCCTCGGCCCCGATTTCAAAAGCCTTGGACCAGCACCCCTGGGACTTAAGGCCCAAGCCCGAAGCCTCCAGATTTCTGCCATTTGCCTTATGCCCCAAGCCCGAACAACTCCCTCTATGCCGATTACCTCACATTAGGTTTTGCCCCGCCCCCCCCCCGCGCGCGCGTGGGTTCTTGCAGACAACAATAAACATGTCAGCAACATAAAACTCAACGTATGATGCATGCCACATCAACGTGCAAGCCCGAGCGTTTACAGTTGCAATAAATGTGCATATGTTTCTGCGTTCTTCTATGCATATCACACTTCATGCGTGGATTCGCTCAGAAGGTTGTCCTGCCTCCGTTCTGGACGACCGAAGGGCCGATGCTGCGGTTCCGGAAGCCCCGATCATTCGCGGGGCCGTTGCAGGCACGGGAAGATGAGGCGTTCTGCAGGGCCTCGTCGTTTGTGGGGGGACCACGCACCCGCCTCGCCAGTCGGTCACTTTGGCGGGTTGGAGTAGCAGCTAGGGGTTGCATCGGCCACGGCTCCGAGTCTTCTTCTGGCGACGGGCCCCCGGCAGTGAGATATCATAAAGCCTGGTCCGCCGAGAGGGGAGGGGGGGGCGAGGTGCATGGGGGGACGAAGCGGCGGCAAGGGAGGGGACGGGCAGGTGGCGGGGAGGGGGGCGGGAGGCAGGGGATTGGACGAGGACACGGAAACGCCCATGTGGAAACGCTTGTGGTCGGAACGAGCCCCGCTGGACACGGTTCTTGGCGAAGATAATCGCGATGATAATCGCTATGATAATGTCGCAGATTGGCGCGAAGATAATCGACATGGAGCACGCCCGAGTGGCGAAGATAATCGAACTCGTCCTGGAGTTATCCGCTGAGAGTGTCGCTCCCGTGTCCGACACCGTGTAGGCTCGAGCATTTTGCCCGCGGGCCCTTTTTCCAAGACCCCTCGTATTTCTCCTCGCCGTTCGGCGCAGGCCGTGGCCATGGCCACCGCTGGTTCTGCGCGCGCGCGCAAGCGCGCCGTGTCCCGTGTCGCTGAGGCTCTCGCTGCCGATTCCGACGAGGCCGATGGCTCGGAGCGCTCCAACCCTGAGGAGAACGACGACGAGCTTTTCCCGGATGCTCGGCAGCGCGGGCGTGCAGCCGTCAAGGTCCTGAAGGTCGATGCGAAGCCGAAGGCGAAGCCGTCGGGCAAGTTTCGCGTCTGCGGCCGATCAGGCTGCTCCAAGAAGGAGACGGCCGACATGCGGTTCCCAGATGCGTCGATCGCTGCGTGCGAGAGGTGCTACTACCCGTGGGAGTGGGCCTGGAAGGAGAAGCATCCCAGCTGGCCGAAGTTTTGCCAGCAGCCCAACCAGGAGAAGACCTTGAACGACCAGTTCGAGGTGTCCGCGGAGTGCGCGGAGGACGCGCGCAACAAGGCTTTCGACGAGGAGAGCGTCGACATCGTCTCGCGATGCGGCTTCAGGATGGCGCACCACTTCAGGGTTTGGAAGGAGCAGCCCTTTCGCGAGGCCACCTCCATGCCCGCTGACGTCGAGCCCAAAGATCTGGATCTCAAAGCTTCATCGATCAAGTTCCCTTCGGGCGCTAGCGTGGATGGATATGTGACGGTGAACCCTGACAAGCCCTTCGTCGACGTGGACAGGATTGAGGAGTACTTCGTCGAGAGGCGTTCCCAGTCGCTCACCGAGGCGCGCCATGTCCTCAGGGATCAGGGGAAAAAGATGTTCAAAGCCGAGATCTCGACGCTCAAGGCCAAGATGCCCACCGCCATTCGCGGCAGGACCGCCCCTCCGACGCTGGGGTCCATCGCGTTTGAGGCCAAGGTGAAGAGCGACGGCAAGGGGGGCATCCAGCCTCAGCAGCATCCAGGCGGCGGCCCTTTCGTTAACCAGGGCAGCCGCGGGCATGCTGCAGACAGTGCAGCGGACAGTCTCCCAGCATCCGTGCCCGAGGACTCTGGCAGCGGCGTCGCGGCCGCGGGTCTGCATGATCTTACCAGAGACGCCGCGGGCCGCGGCGAGGGCGCTGGCGACAGCAAGAGCCAGACCCAGGGCGAGAAGGACCTCCAGGGGCTGCAGGTGGATTCATCGAAGCCTCCGAGTGCCTCGCCTCCCCCAGCCCGCGGACGCTCTCGGTCGTGGAGGTCGACTCGGACTCGCATCAGTGCAGCGGGAGGGGCCCCCAGGGCCCGCGCAGGTGGCAAGGCCGCCAGCTCCGCTGGTGGCATGGAGGCCTTATCGAAGCCCAGATCGCCAGCGGCTGTCGACGAGATGGAGAGGATCAGGCAGCTCGAGACCGATTGCGACATCGCGAAGATCTTGGAGGGCTACAAGCTCGGCGATAGGGAGTACGCCGTCACACGCTTCAGCCCGAAGCAACCCAATGCCAAGGATAGGAGGGACGCGCTGATCGAAGTCATCGAGACGGCGAAGCAGATTTCCACGCACAACATGCACAACCTCAGGGGCAAGAACGATTTGAAGACGAAGTACACCAACGAGCTGAAGAAAAACAGCGTGAATTTCCAGAGCTGCCCGAAGTGGTGCCGCACTCTGGTTTCAGAGACCCTCCATGCCAACTTAGACTTGGATGCAGTGTGGGACATCATCAACCCGTTCGCTGAGGCGGAAGATGGCCCTGTTAAGTTCGACCTTGCTTGCCCGAAGCTCTCGGGAGTTGCCGATGAACTGGATGTGACCATCAATATCGCAAGGGACCACGCCTTGAACTACCTGCTCATCCCGATCATCCAGAATAAGACCAATCAGCTGGATACTGCCAAGGGGCCCCGAAGCACCTTGAGGGAGTGTGTTCGTGCTTCACTTGGGCTGCCACAGGAGATCAAGAAGTTCTACAAGGACATGCAGGTCTGCGCTGCCATCCTGGACACGATCTCCGACCACTCTGCGGAGGCCGTGGCCTCCATCGAGGTCGACTTGGCTGACTTTCGGAAGATGCTCCACGGCGACTATGACAAGGAGTGGTCGTCGTTCGCTTGCGCTTTGGACTCGGACGATTACTGGAGGCAGGAGAAGATAGAGTGGCGACGCGCTTCTCAAGGTGACCTGCAGGAGATGGAGAATATAACGGTGACCAGGCAGTCGCTCGAGGGCGAGGTCTCCGACGTCACGGTGTTCACCAAGACCGTAGCGTCCCTGATGAAGTGGTTCACAATATGCAGGTCTTCTACTCCGACCCCCGCCATGCATGATTTTTTCTCTGCGGCCGAGCAGTTCATGGACCGTCACGCCTTGCTAACGGACGAGGAGAACGCGCCGAAGATGGACCAGTTCAATTCCTTGCTCACAGGCCTTCTCGAGCTCGACAACTGCTCCTCGAAGGGCGAGGCCCGTGAAGGGGTCACCAGGACTTTCGGGCCTCGGCTGCACCGCTTAGTGGAGAGGGTTCGGGAGCTGCAGTCTCAGGTGTCCAAGTCTGTCTCGTCGAGCGCGAATTTGCAAGCCTTGCAGAAAGCGGCGGTCGTCGAGACCATGAGCGCTCAGGCGAAGATCGTCAAGACCGAGCTCGGGCAGTTGGGAAGCGTCAGGTTCTCCGACCCACCACGCCTGAGCATCATATTCAATGTTGTGGACGCCATGGCCGCTACCGCATGCAATAACATCAAGATGGATACGGCGACAGATATCGACGACTTTCTCGTTGACGAGGTGGCCGACATGTTGGAGCTAACCACGAAGGTGTGCGACCTAGCGGGGTGCGACGACGAGGAGCAGCGCATCAACGGCGCTGCTCGCCGCGTGAAGCTCATGACGATTGTCTTGAACACGACTCGCGCCCTCAAGGAGCTGGTGCAATTCGGAAATGCAGCTGAGCAGGTTTCAAACACGGAGGGCACCAAAGCATACCAGTGCCTGAAGGGCACCGTCGGGGAGCTCAAAAAGATGCGCAGCCTGATGGATGACCAGCCTGGAGGGACCCACGGCAACTTCATCAGCATCGCTCAGATCAAAAACAAGTTCGGGTACCTCTTGGCCACGGCGGCGGGCACGACACTGTCCTTCGAGAATGCCGACATCGACTCTACCCTCGCCGACGCCACCGAGTATCAGAACAGGTTGAAATCCATCGTCAGTTTTGGCAACGTTGATCGTGGCTGGAGGGCAGGCCTCGACGACTGTGCAGAGTGGACGGCGGTGGTCAAGCATGCTCGCTCGGTGGTCTTCGCAACGAAAGGCTTGGCGGCCAAGGTGGGCTCCGCCATCACGGCCCTGGAGAAAGCCATCACCAACGTCCGCGACACCTGCAAATCCTACGAGCAGGACGGCAAGTGCGACGAGATCGCGAGGGCAATGGAGAAGACGATCCACCTGGCAAGGCTCACGCAGATGGAGGCCGCCGCCATCCAGAAGATTCGCGATAACGAGAGCTCCAGTACTGAGGTGAGGGCCACGGCCATCCAGAACGTGCTGGACGTCCTCCCAGAGAACGGCATCGCCCAGAACGAGTTCCACCTGGCGGTGCAGAAGAAGCTGAACGAGGCCATGCGGGCCTGAGTTGAACGATGGCCCATGCGGGGCTGGGTTGAGGCAGGATGCCTCAGTGGGCAGCAGGCTGAATTGCACGAGCTCGCCGCTGCTCCGACCCGAGCCTTGACTTCGGAGTGCTCCTCGAGGAGCGCTGGAAACGGACTGGGGGTTCAGGACTTCCGAGGGGCAGGATGAGGACGGGAGAAGGAGGAGGAAAATGAGGGGAGGGGAGGGAGGGGCGGGCGGGGACGGGACAGGAAACGCAGAAAGAGGGGGGAGGGGAAGCGGTGCGGGGGAGGGAGGGAGGAAGGGCAGGCAGAGGAGGAGGAGGGAAACCAGGCAGACGGCAGGATACCTCCTCCTCCTCCTCTCCCCTCGCCCGCCCTCGCCCTCGCCCGCGCCGTCGCCCTCGCCGACGCCGACCCCAGCGCCCTCGCCTGCGCCCTGAGGCGCTTCGCCCGCGGGAGGGTGGAAGGGAGAGGGGGGGGGAGGCGGGCGAGAGGGGCGCAGGAAAGCGGGGGGGGGAAGGGGGGGTCGAGTGCAAGCTGGAGGGGGAGGAAGGGGACGGAGAGCGGGGAACAGACAGGGAGGAGGGGGCTAGGGGGGGGGGGCGGAGGAGGAACGGGAGGAGGAGAAGGAAGAGGATTTTTGAAAAGCTCGAGCGTCGAAGCGCACTAAGCACCCTAACTTGCGAAGGTGTTGGCAACTCTAGCGGCCACGATGGTGGCCGCGCTAAGCCCGCGTTATCCCCATGGCCGCTCGAGCGCTCGAGCGACGCCGCGCCGCGAGAGTTCGGGGTCAGCCCGTGTTATTCCCATGGCGCGCGCCAGATACTTTGGCGCTGGCCATGGCGCGTCCCGAGGGCCGAAACAAGACCCATCAAAACCCCACGGCGTGGTTTCCATCAAAACCCCATGGCGCACCCCCCAGGGCATATCCTAAGAAACGACGTCGTAAACCCATGAGCCCTTTTCTTTTGAAAACCGATGATCTTCGCGGTGTAGCAGACGCGTCACTTGGGCGCCCCAAAGGGGAGCCGCTAGGGAACGCTCAGTCGCCACAGGCTAGTTCGCTCCCAATCAGGCGCTCACAGCGGGACGTGCCCAGAAAAGATTGTTTTGCACATGAGGATATGTTTGGTTGGTTTGTTGGTCTGGTCGGCTCTGCACTCCGCGGGCTGTTCGGCTGGTAGGCGCGGGGCCGAGTTGCAACGGGGGTTGGTTTGGTTGGATTCCAGCAGGGCCTTGCGGCCCCCACATCCCGTGCGGCCCATGCTGGTGATATGGGCCGTCTGGATCATGCGGACCTTGCGGCTTGCGCATGTCATCGGGCCCATATGGAACATGCCATGTCCGCGCGCCGAACACATCGCCGTCCGCGCGCAGGTGTCGCCCGTGTCGCCACACCCCCCACGCACTGCAGAAACCACAGCGACAAGTGCGTCACCAGCATGCGAGCAACGATTCATTGTTTATGTTATACTGGGGTTGTTTGGGTTTCCTGCCAGGCGGCGCCATGGCAATCTGGCTTTCTGGCAATCGTACGGCAGCCCAGCCGGAGTAATATCTGCCTCGATCCCCCTCCTCATGAGAGTCTCCATTCCTCGTCATCCTCCCCCTCGAATCCAGCTGAAGCTACAGTAGCGCAGAGCGCCGCCAGTGATCCTAGCGCTCTCGCTCGTTTAGTGGGAATGGCCGCAGCTGGAAGCGAGAGGGCAATAACCATGTAGGGATAGTGTATAGATTGCTGGGCCATCTTCCTCCCCGTGCCCCAACAGTCAAGCAGTGGCGAAGCGTCCTGGCGTGCCTAAAGGCCTACCAAACAATGTTGCAAGAATGTTGTATGGTTTCCACGAAATGTGTTTGATTTATTTTTGGCGGGGCTTGTCTTGTTTCAACACATGTGGTTTACGTTCTAAGAACCTCGCTTTTGTTCTTAAGACATGTTTGGGTTCTAAGAACATGTCGTGGTAGGCCTATAGAAATGCCGGGACGGTCGGTCCGTGTTCAACACAGCTGGTACGCGAGAAGTGGCGTAGGCCGAAGGTTCGAAACAGTGGGACCATGCTTGCGCATCTTTAACGACGGTGCACCAGTGCGGGAACAACGGCTTCCACATTGGCAGGCATGGCGTGCGGTTCGAAATTATATCCGCCTCTTTCTTTCCATATTGGCTGGAAGCACGACTATCTTGGTAAAGCCAAGGATATTGCAAAACGTTGACCCCCCCAGCGCTTCCTCATCCCAGTGATCCATCCATCCATGCCTCATCCCTTTTTTTCCTCCTCGTCCCTCTTCCGCCACGGACGACCACGACCACGACGACGACGACGATGACGACGACGACCGCGACGAAGATGACGGCGACGACGCCGACGACGGCGACGGCGACGGCGACGGCGACGACGGCTGCGGCGGCGGCTTGGGCGGCGGCGGCGACGGCGACGGCGACGACGACGGCGACGGCGACGGCGACGGCGACGACAGCGGTGACGGCGGCGGCGACGGCGACGACGACGAGCTAGCTTCAGGTGGAAGAGCTGGAGGCGCTGAAGGCCCAGGCGGAGGCCGACGGCACGGAACCCCCCGACGAGGAGGCTTTCCTCGCCGAGGAGCCGGGCGACCACACAGACGGCGACGAGTTCATTCATGACGGCTGCAATATACGGCGGCACGGCGGCCGCAGAACGATGGCGGTCCGTTATTTGTGCCTCGGTTTCGCCTTGTTGAGCCAGTTGGGAGGCCCTCGTCGCCACTGGTGGATCCGCTTCCGGATTCTGGTCAGAGTGCTTTTTGGGAAAGGACCGATGAACAGCGGCATCGGCAGCGTACTGCCTCCCCAGCGACGACGGCTACGACTACGACTGCGTCGGCGGCGACGACCACGACGACAGCCACGACGACGACGACAACGACGACGGCGACGGCGGCGGCGGCGTTGGCGACGACGACGGCGACGACGACGACGACGACGACGACGGCGACCGCCATCACCACCACCACTGCGAACACGTTGGGGCATTCAGAAAGCACACGTGGAGTGATTGTATTTATACAGAGACGTTGGGTGTCATGCGTCTCCAGCATTGCCGCTGCAAAAAACACGGGTGTTCATACGTCGACGTGCGGATGCGGTTGGTCATGTGAAGAGCGATTGTTGCATTGCGGGTACGGGGAATATCACGTACAATTCACGCATGCATCCCCATCAGTTATTTGAAATGGGGGCGTGGCGCAAACGATACCAGTTCTTGTTGGGCAACGGAATTAACGCAGAATTGGGCCGCCGATTGACAACGGAGAATTGTACAATGATCTTCGATCGTGGACCTCACTGAGAATTCGCGCGGGCAGGTGCAGAAACGATGGGATACAACTCGAAAGCTCCACCATCGAGTGCATATTTCGTCTGAAGCGTCCGAAACACAGAGACGCACAGCAGATCCAGTCAGTGGCTGCGGTTCGGACGGCTTTCGACCTGCTTCGCGAGCCCGCAGACCAAAAAGTGTCTCCGCCAGCCCATCCCAAGACAGCAATTGTTGCGAAGCATACCGGCTGTCGTGGTTTTCGCGCGTACCTCCGCTTGCCGTCGGAGGAGGAGGCGGAGGAGGAGGTGGGGGAACGAGATGAGGGATGAGGGAGGAGGAGGACGAGGACGAGGAGGAGGCGGATAGGGAGGAGGAAGAGGAACAGGAGGAGCAGGAGGGGAAAGAGGATAATGAGGAGGAGGAGGAACAAATGACGATCAGGAGAGCCTCCTCGGATGTCTCTTGTTTTTCTCTTGAGGCCTCTTGGAGCGTCTGGGGGGCACCTTGGGTGCCTCGGGGATCCCGTTGGCGCCTCTTGGGGGCCTCTTGGGACGTTCTTGGAGGCCTCTTGGGCGCCTCTTGGGGCCGTCTGGGCGCCTCTTGGGGCCCTCTTTGGGCGCTCTTGGGAACCTTAGGGACGCTCTTGGAGCCATGTTTGGAGGACCTCTGTCAAAACAGAGCGGTTTCCCAAGTAGCGTTGCCCCTCAGGAGCCCCAGAAATCGCCTATTAGACCCCTCGTGGAGCGCTCGTGGGGGCGCTCTTGGGGACGTCTGTGGGCTCTTTTGGACCTCTCTTGAGGCCATCGTGGTGCCATCTTGGAACCATCTTGAGGCTTCGCAAGGCAATCGACAGCGAGCGGGCGACGATGCAACAATCATTTGTTTTCCTTCGGTGTTTGAAAGATTGTAGTCTCTTGTCTCCTTGGAGGTTTCGGAGGTCTCTTGGAGCCGTCTTGGGGCGGTCTTGGGGGTTCGGGGGGCATCTTCGGAGCCATCTTGAGGCATCTTAGGCTATCTTGAGCCATCTTGGAGCTCATCTTGGGGTCTCCGAGGCGTTCTTGGAGCCGCCTTGGGCCATCTTGGACGCTCCAACTACCAGCATCCCCCTCCGTCCAGGTCGAGGGGAGGGTGTAGGGGGAGGGGTCAAGCCACCCACCCGCCCGCAAGCCGTCTAGCTCACTCCCTCC